ACAGGTTTCATTCAAGTAACTTTAAGCCCTATGTTGACCAAACTTACATGGATGATACATCTTAGGATGCACACAAATGGACTTGCTTCAGATGCTGAATTCGACATACATTTTCCAGATAATAGACCTCGTAAAAGTTATGGGTGCAAGTCTATCACCAAGAAACTATAAGGCTTATATAAACCAGTTGCTTAAATGATGCATCAAGGGATGAACACTCTCAATCTTGCTTCAGATGCTGGATTTTAATGACATTTTCATGATGAAGAACTAGTTTTTAGTTTTTATATAGGTCTATTCCAAAGTATCAAAATTGCATAAATTTTGCATTTTTGGATGTACACTTTTTGTTGGTTAATTGTGTGACTTAATTAGCCTTACTTAAAGACAACACACGTTGAGGTGAGCTCTGTAATCTCTGATTACCTATGTTTTTGTAAAGGATTTACATTTTGATAATTTGTTAGAAGTGTAAGAAGTGCAGAGATTGCACCCTCCCCCTTAAAAAAAATGCTTTTTGAAAAGCTGTGGCATGACAATTTCTTTGTCTAGTAAAGAAATGTAATATTAAGATGATGACAAAAGTTTTCTAAAACTTTGATAAGATACTGCATGAGCTTGTGATTTTTCTCAATTGGCTATATCTTAATAATTACATGCCAACATGTTCAGTCAGGAGGCTGTTTTTATTCGGTCAGCAGACAGTGATTGAACTTTGAGCAGGAAAGCATTAATATGTGAACGACCAGCAAACCACTGCAACATGATTCAAGAAAATTTTTTGTTTGTTTTTTGCTGTTGCCACCTGTGGGGAGGTAAACAGAAATTATATTGTAACCTGATCACTTCTTGATGGAAGAATCCAGAGAGGATGCTAAAACCTGCTGCCCTACAAGACTGGTTTTACCCATAAACCCAGTCTGCCTTGAGGGGGAAAAGATTAGTGTTAAAAGCCCAACAGAGAGGGGAAGATGAAGTATGCTTTATGTCTTGTAGTAGAGTTGGGTATTGCGAAGGAAATCCATATCGCAATATATTGCAATATTTTACTTTGAATATTGCAATATATTGCAATATATTGTAGATTAATTATCATTAATAAATTTGAGCAGAATGTTTGAAATGCTGTCAAGTTCAAAGACTATTTGAATTTATCTTTAAGTTTAAAAGCGGGAGGAGGGATAAGACATTGATTGCACACCAAATTAACGCATTACTTTTAATCAAATTCCAGGTAAAATAGTAAAACAAGATGAACTCTCTTGGAGAATTTTCACATTGAAATAAATTTTTTACAGATTACATAATCTTTTTTCATTGAATTCTTTTTTTTTTTTGGGGGGGGGTTAATGAAGTAGCATAAAATGTTATTAAAGATTAAAACAATATACATATTAGGCCTATATGAAAATAATTTTATTGTGGTTACAAAATAAAATTTAAAAAACCAGAAAGAAATTGTGACCTGTTTTCGTGCGTTTTGGTAATTTAGTCTAACCCGACCTAATTTCACATCAAGACGTACAATCAGGAAATGGCCTAGCTGTTTTAATATATACATGCTCCTGCTATAGCATAAGGTGTTTAAAATGGCATGAAAGTTATTAAGAATAATTTAAACAACACTGCTACAAGTGAAAACATGGATGACCATTTACTTTTAATATGTAAATGTATATTGAACTTGACATTTCACCGCGATGTCGATCGTGGAGATTCAATGTTAGATTTTGTGAACCGCAATGCATATGGTATACACCCTGTAAATTTTTTTTTATATATTTTCTTCCTTATAAATTTTATTTTAAAGTCTTATTAATTAGTAATTTTATTTCAAAGTAAGATATTCAAAACTGCAACAGTGAATTAAAAGCTTCCACCCCCTCTCTCTATCTCCTCTCTCTTTCTCTCTCCCGAACGAAACTGACGAAGAATTCTTTCAACGAGAAAGAAAAAGACTTAGAAGTTTCCAGTTTTATTTTAACAGTTTCTACAACAAAGGAGGTTTTTATATATTCTTATAAATATCGTGAAATACCGGTATCTGATTTTCATATCGCAATATATTATCGTGGTGGATAATACCGCAATATACCGATATACCGGTAATGGTGCAGGGTGGTTTCGCGCCGATTACGTGTTCGCGCTGAGTGGTATCGCGCCGAGTGGTTTCGCCCCGTTTATCTACAGGTAAGATATGGGTAGTATACAGAATGGCTTCCCCCCCGATTACCTGTAATTATAAATCAGGTGTGTTCCCGTTTTGCACACATTTGATAATTAGGTATAAACAATAAGTATGAAGTGTGTTTTGATAGCAATTATAGTCTGATTTTTGGTTTGGATTTACCTCTGAATACCCGATTTAGCTTAATGTATTCTTAAGAGATTTAATTTTATAAGCATTTTATTAAAATTCTAAATATATTTATGGGAAAATATTGATTTTATTGATCATTTTATTTAAAAAGATGTTAAAATAAATATATTTATTTCACAAATCTCGTTGACTTTTCAATGAAGGTTGTCATTGTTTTTCATTTGATTTACAACATTAAAGTATGTAGAACAAGGATTCCTATGTATGAAGACGATGATTATTCTCATCATTATTTTTAATTAATCTGCTTATCATTAGCGATCAAACGATAATAAAACGACTACCCGATAAGAGGTACATGTATTTTCAGTAATACAGTGGCGCGAACCCACGTGGGGCGAATCCACTCGGCGCGAACAAGTGATTGGAGCGAAACCACTCGGCGCGAACACGCAATCGGAGCGAAACCACCCGCATTCCCGGTAATATTGCACACCCCTATCTTGTAGCCAAGGTATCTCATTTATTGATAAGATATTTGGAATGTGGATGTTAATAAATGGTGCATTGAATGCATAGGAAGCTTTTATAGAGTTTATAGCCCATGGATGATTGCAAGCATTGATGTTCACAGAAATTGTCTCTGACTCTCTTATCATTCCATAATAATCAATTTTGTCATGGTTTATAAATCATGAATGGGTAGTTTTCAAGAGGGCTTCATCAGGTCATGAGTATCAAAAGGACTTTTGAAATTAAGTAATAGTTGTATTGAAAATTATATAGTGTATAAAAGAAAGTTTAAACTTCTCAGAGGCATTAAAATTTCATTGAGGGAGTGGAAAGAGCTGGTTTTGACTAGACTGACACATAAACTGGCTTTGATTCGGTTGAAAACCGTATTGAGTCATGTCGGTAAAACCCATTGATATGGCAGAAAAAAGGACCAAAGTTATCAAGTTTTCTGCACATTTATTTGCAATTTAATAAATACAAGTGACCTTTCAAAGATCTTTTTTCTGATTTGAAAAAAATATATACGCTTTTGGATGAATTTCAAAACCAATACCATGTACAAGCACTTTCCTGTCCCATAAAGTATTTGTTTAAGGTCTCCTGTAAGAGTCTTTAAATAAGAAGTATTAGGTATTCCAGGTAGCAATAATTTGTTTAAGATTTGAATACCTGTGTGGTTTTAACACGGTGTACGCAGTTTGATGTTAGGGTCACAGTGTCTGGCTGTCTGTATTTACATTGGTTGCAACACCCTCTGTCTGTTAAATCCCATGTACTAAAGTGTCCCGGTATCGCACCTAGCCTAGGGAAACCACTGACTCAAATTTAAAAAATTTTTAAGAATAAATTTTGACAAGGTTATTTACTTACTGAGTAATTTGAGACTTTTATAAATTCCATCAGTGAGAGACCTCTGACTTAAAGATTTAAGATCTCTCTCTCATTCTCGTTCATTCTCTCTCTCTGGTGTCTTTTGAACCATTTTCAAAGACAGTGCTGTTTTGAATTTTAATTAAACAAATTCATCTAAGTCAGATTTTAATACAAAATATCCTTGTGTGGGAGGAACTGTCTTTCACATAAAAAAGATTTTCTCTTTACAAGACATTCTGAATAAGTAAAGGTTAATAGCTACTAGACAAGTTGAAGGAAATGACAGTTTCATTCTTATGATACACAGAGAGCTGGGTGTGTGTTAACAAAATCAATTAATGTTCATAATGGTGATTTATCTAAAGTGCATTTGAACTACATGGCCCCACCATATCTACTAAATAATGAAAATGATGCATGCATGCTCATGCAGGTAATTTCTGATTACTTTTAAATGCCTGCAAAAATCTAGTGCTATGGTTTCGAATCTCTGATCTCTACTTTTTTTGAAGGCTGTATTTTGCAAAGATGAATGAGGAACAAGCAAAGTTGTGCTTTGATTGTTGAAATCTTTATCAAGCTGTGTTTAGAATATTAAAATAGTAAAATATTCACAACATTAATACAATATACCTACATATTTTACTACAGTAAAACTTGGTTATAGCAACGTCTTGGGGACAAGCAATTACTGTATAAGTGGAAATTTTAGCGAGACGCAAATTTAGCAATTTGTCCTTAAAAATTGGTATTTTATTTTTAGCAAGATGTCATTTTAGTGAATTTAAAAAGCTCATTAAGGAAGCTATTACAAATAAAGCGCAAAAATTTTTTAGCAATATTAGATTTTTGCAATCCTGGCACCTTTGCTAATAATCCCAAAATTAAATCCTCGCTAAAAATTCTGCGTATACAGTATTACTTTGCTATATAATTGGATTTCAAATATAAATACCCAATGTAATGCACCATGTTTATAACAAAACGTCATTCAATACATGTATTTCTAAATTTGAGATGTTTGAAAAGTTTCTGAAAATTGTATCTTAATTGTTATTTTTAACCTCGTCAAAAGATAAAATCAGTCAGATTCATCCATTAATTTGCATCATTATTGATTCAATCAAATGTAAAATATTATTTGAAGTATAATGTTTCATATTATCATGATTATCTTTTTATTTTTCAAGATTTATTCAAGCATTGTATGTGTTTTTGCAGGACTTTAGAAGGTTTGCTTCATTGCAGCATTTCTTTCAGAATTAACCAATTTATTTTTTTTTTGTTTTAGATGCTAACATAGATTTACTGGGAGCCATTGGAGTCCCAGGTGCAAGGAGGGGGGTCAGCTACGCCAGTGGAGTGGATGGCTACCCAGCCTTTGAAATAAAAGAAGATGCTGTCATTAAAGAGCCTGCTCAAGCATTTTTCAAAAAACAAATTTTTAAAGACTTTGCAGTTGGCATAACTATAAAACCATACAAAAGAACTGGTGGATTTTTATTCGCAGTGAAAAATCTTTATAACACTATAGTACAATTTGGTATAGAATTGACTCCGAACAAATTAATTTTATACTATACTGCAAATGTTCGATTTGCACCATCTTCTAATCAGTTAGTGTCTTTTGACATTGGAGATTTTTATAACAAGTGGACCAGATTGTCTTTAAAAGTAGAAGGTGATACAGTGACGTTATATAAAAATTGTGCCAAAGTGGAAACTAAAACGGTAACGGGGAAAAACGGACCGTTAGATGTAGAAGATGGAGCTAAAGTGTATATCGCCCAAGGTGGAGAAAATTTCGGCAATAAATATACAGTAAGTTTTACATAAATATAGTATGCCTTCAGTGGAGTGCAAAATTAGATTAATAGGAAGGGACACAACTCTAGATATCAGTGAGAATTTTCATAGTTACATTTCCTGCAGTCTAAAATCCACTTCTTGTATGTACTATTTGAACCTGTATCAGACTTAAAGTGGAGGATTAATAGATTTTTTATTTTTAGTCCAATAGCTCATTTAATATACATGTACCAACATGTACCAACTTTATTGAATTCCAGTTATTCCATTTAGTCACCACTCTTTTTTTTCATACCATTGTTATGAAACTGCCAAAAAAAGACAAGATTCCAGGGCTTGTAATCAGACAGACATTATTTATATTTTTGTCTTGATTTATAGAACCTATACATCAGTCAATACCCACTTGCTTCTGTTCTCAGCATTTTAGTCATGAAACAGAAATTTTGAGTACAAAATGACACTGAAGAAATTTTATGATTAGGTACAGATCTCTCATCTGACAGATTTTTGGCTCTTAAATAGCAGTTTCTGTCAGTAGCACACTTCTCTACAAAACCTGAGTCTTGTCTTCTTCACTTTGGATCAGATAAAATGACATGTTAAGTTTCAGTTTGTTCTCTGTTTTTGTTTTGTAGGGAGTCATTCAGGAGCTGAAGATTTACGCTGATCCAGCAGAGGCAGAGAACTTTGATTGTGAAGACCAGGTAGGGGATCACAGACCATCATTCAGTGCTATTTGATTTATGTCCTAATTCCGAAAAATGGCAGGCATTTTGTTTTCAAATTAAATCAAACTAGTGGCAAAAATATTACTGGTGGTTTTCACATATGGGAATTCTAGAAGTATATCCGTTATAGCTCTAGTGGCATTATGAGTAAATTTCAGACCAGCTAAAAATTACTTTTCAGTGATCTGTCATTGATATTTTTAAAGGTTTATGTAGTAGAAATAAATGAATTGTTCTATTTTACAGTTATACGGTAGTGGATCTTCAGGTTCAGGGACAACAGATGCACCAGAAATTATCCCACCTATCATAACTCCTGTAAGTATACTGGATTAATGATAATGTCAAGGGACATAAATTAAGTATTGCAAGTACGATTTAATAATATCCAAGTACATTTCAAATAGTCATTCAAAAACTGTTGAAATGTGGAATTGTTGAGTTGCACAGCAATATCATGCAATATAAAGGTGCAAATACATAAACAGATGAACTTGGTATCTCAAACTCTAATTAACTGAATTCCATAGATAAATCATGATGGTTTTGAAATCACAAACACATTAACTAATTTATCCCTCAATTTGAACACTTGCACATCTCAAATTTTTTTCTCTGTCCTTTTAATTTTGAGCTAACAAGGTTTGTATGCATAAACTATGTGAGAAATGAAAAATATTATATAAAAGGCCCTGTGAGATATTGTGAATTTATGAGGTTTCCAACAGTTGTGATGTATTATTGATGTCCATGATCTATGAAGTAACTTTGTCATATGTGACAATGACAGAATACGCTGTGTGAAATTCATGTTCTGTTATAACTGTAACTAAACATCCTCAGAGGCTTATACCTAATACAAGGGGACCTTGTGACCAGTGATGTGCTTTGACCCAGTCCCAGGTCACAAGACAAGGTCAACAAGGTTACATGGTATTTTTGTATTACATTACCTATATTTTTTTAGCCAAAACTTTGAAATAGAAAACAGAAGAAACATACCTGCATGAGACCTATATCTGAGAACCTTTAAAAATTGTTTTTGAGCCATGACATTTTAATTCTAAAAATTGACTATGGATGAATACTTCACACAACCATTACTATGATTATAAGTAATAACCTTCATGCCATTACATGTATTACATTTCCGAAAGATTCAGGCAATAGGAATTTGCAGTATGATAATTTCACAAGATGGCATAAGCTGTTTGAAGGGAGTTTTTTTTTCTGGTTGAGGCATGGGGAAAGTAGGCATTTTGGGACATGGCTGACAAGTCGATATACATGTATGAGAGGAACTCGTCCCAGAACTTTTAGAGAACTCTTTTTAGTCCTCATAGATTATAGTGGGCTTCATATAACTTAAGAGTCAAATTACAATAAGCATGATTACTGTGCTGGAGTAAAAACCAATTATAGTAAAACATACTTACAGCAAACATGCTTATAATGAATTGATGCTTTTATAGTTCCCCATAGCTTAAAATATTATGATATATTATGAACTTATGGATATAACAAATTATGTTTATAATGAAGCAAAATTGTCTGTGCCTTGCACTTTGTTAAGGGTGTTTTACTGCATTTTTTTTTTTGAAGTCATTTGAAAAACTGTTGAATACATCTACTGTATTTGTCATTTTGGTAATAAATTCTTAATCACAGATGACTTAATTTTGTTTCAGCCTCCACCTTCAATTGTCAAGGGAGAAAAGGGTGAGCGTGGAGAACAGGGTTTGAAGGGAGACAAGGGAGATCAGGGACTACCTGGCAGTGCCGCAGAAGCTGCAGGAGCCGGACCCAAAGGTAAGCACTAAGCATTAAATAGGTCACCAAGTCAATATACATGTAGTGACTGTTTGCCACTTGGTCTGTTTGTCAGATTTGTACAAAAAAAATTTAGCACCGTAATGGATTCAACTGTGAACATGCATTTTTGTATGATGGCCATTTGGAGAGAGTTGTACATAGTGTTACAAAGGTGTCTCCTTCCTAAGTTTCGTAAATTTACTATTTCAAGTACAAGAAGAAAAGGCAATTACATTAAGTAATAATTTTTTTCTGGGGAAGAGTCTCCCATCTAGTTTAAAGAGAAGTCGTATGAGATATAAAATTCACTTTACACCTTAGGTGAGAAGGGAGAGCCTGGAGTACAAGGACCAAAGGGAGATATGGTGTAGCAGGTGTTACAATATAGTTATGATGGACAAGGGCCCATAATTCCACAATTGTAATAATTTGGTGAAGAGGACACGGAATTTAGGGGTACCATAGAAGGGGGGGGGGTACTTATATACTGAAAATGAATGAATGGAAATCGGACTCCCAGGCAGGGATGGGGAACCAGGCCAAAAGGGCGAACCAGGGGAACCAGGCAATTCAGTAAGCTTATATCATATACGTATATCAGAAACAATTGTTTTGCTTTAACTCATATGAGTGGTAGGTAGTATTTTGTAAGGACCTTGTTTGATTGGACCAAATAATATATTTAGGATGTTTATAACAACTTTGGTTGTTTATTTACCGAATCTTATCACATTTGGTTATGAGAAAGTTCTTTGTATTAATTTCCCCAAGTTAAACTGTGAAAACTGTCGAAAAATCTTTTTAAAGTTAAATTTACAAAAAAATGAACAATTCTTGAAATATCTGATAAAAGGTTTTTGTGTTAGTATTTGTTTAGTTTCATTTCATTATAAATAATAATGAATAATTTAGGGTGAAGAATTTGGTTTTAACTTGAAAAAAATAATATTAAAATTGTACAAAATGTCTCCTGCTTTATCAGTTTTTTCTGTCTTCTCCATTAAAGGAGGATATCGATATACTGATTAAAAGTTCAACTGTTACATATAATGTATGTTGTTAAGATTCACACAAGATGCTAGTATGTTTTTATATTGATTTACTTACATGCCATGAAAGTCATAATGACCAGGCTTATAACTGGGAAAGGAGTTAGGCATCTGTTTTGGTATAAGTTAAAAAAAAATATAATATCTCAATACTCTTAGGGAGTACCAGGAATTGGTGTACAGGGACCCAAAGGAGATCCTGGGGCACCTGCTGTCATCAACATGAAGGATATAACAGATTACATTGAGACCCGACTTCCTGGTGCAGGAAGCAATGGAGAGAAAGGAGAGAAGGGGGATCAAGGCGAAAAGGGTGAAACTGGTCCCCGAGGGGATACAGGACTGCCAGGATTACCTGGTAGCGATGGCTTGCTGGGACCAATGGGAGCCAATGGACTTAAGGTCTGCAACTTTTATAGGATATTTGATAAAAAATTGTTAAAACTTTGGGATTCACATAAAAGTTTTTGCAAAGTTCTCATTTACTACATTGAAATAGCAATAAAAGCATTTTTGGATTAACTGGAAAGCAAAAAAATTATAAATATGGTTGACATTGTTACTTTCATACATCAGTCATACCTTCCATATCAGAACTTGCATTTAGCTCAGATTATAGTCATTATCTTCCAACTTAATTGTAAAAAAGAAATGTGACCTTCAAAATTAACTCCGTTCTTTTTCATTCTTGTCAGATCAGTATTACCTGTACATGTATTTTATTTACTTGTAAGAAATTTTTCACTATTTTGCATATGCAAATGATTTGAATCATGAATGTTATTACCAGGGTGAACCAGGAGATTCTATAGAAGGACCCCAGGGACCTCCAGGTAAAGATGGCATCCCAGGACTGCCCGGTGAGAAGGGAGCACGAGGAGAACAGGGACTGCGGGGTCTCCCTGGCGCCCCAGGAGTCCCGGGAACAGTAGTGGAGGGATCAGGGGAGGTGGCGGCAGGAGAGCCAGGCCAACCGGGGGCTCCTGGAGCCCCAGGAGAGAAGGGAGAGAGGGGAGAAACTGGACCCCAGGGTCCTAAAGGTGAGGAAAACATGGGGATCAGAATTACGTAGATTCTGAGGATAATATGCTGATGTCACCTTTTTTTAACAATTTGAAAAAAAAAATTAAAAAGATAGTGAATTTAAATGCAAGGTTAAATACTTTGAAAATGCTCCTTTACAATATTTCCAGGAGAGCCTGGTACATTTGATGGTGACATCAAAGATCTCATTGGACCTGAAGGACCGAGGGGAGAGGCTGGAGACCCTGGACTTCCTGTAAGTAGACCAGGGCTCGAGCTGTGATTCGCCATTGTCGCCAATTGCGAATTTTTTTCAAAAGTGGCGAAAAGAAATTCATAAGTGGCGAAAATGAAGTTTTTTAGATGTACCATGTACAAAATTTGTGTAGACTTGATTAGCTCCTTTGTTTATTCAATGTATACAGATAAGTCCCTTTGTTTATTTAATGCAGCAGAGGTGTGAAAACTGAAACCTACATGTAGGAAATCACGTCTCGCTTGAACGAACACAGCTGATTAGGTAATAAGCCTGGAGCAATAAAGGGTTACAAAATTGCTTTAAATAATATAATTTGATTCAACAAGGGGATAAAGTGTTATAAGGAGATGAAGTTTGTAAATAAAGATCTTTATCAACAAAATATGGATTATGTACATGTATTTTAAACCGAAAGTAGGAAACATGACGAAAATTGTAAAGAATGGCTTCAAATTTTACCTAATGAAAATTGAAAAATGTGTACATTATACCATAAACTGACAAAGAGTGAAAAAGAAATTGGTTTGGTAACAGAATTATCTTAGTAAATTACACTGAATTATTTACATTTACATGAGCTTGCATATTAAACCCCGGAGTCTCCAAGTTGTTAAAATAAAGTTCAAAACCTAATTTTCATTACTTTTTAATTTCTTTCTTCTTTTCACAACTAATGAAATGATGAAAACTTCCATTTTTAAAAAAAAATGTCATTTTTACTAGGTCTTTAGCCCCCCCCCCCCCTTCCTTTCCAGGCAAAAATATTAAAATCAAGAGGAGATTTTCTGTCAAGAGTTGGCTAATATCAATTCAATATCAAATTAATTGTATAATTCCAACAGTAGTTTTTTTTTTTCTTATTTTAAATGGATACTATCATAAGCTTTAAACTTTACAATTTTAAAACAATGTCTGTGATAAATTTAATTAAAAAAAATTGTATAACATAAAGCGCATTGTATTGTCGAGAAATCAGATGTAATTATGCCTTTCCTTTTGTTGCGAAAAGTGGCGAAAAATATTTTCAGTCCAGTGGGAGCCCTGAAGTAGACCATCAGTACTGGTGCTCGTTTTAATTGATAAATAATGAAAATGATATTTATGTGGATATTATTTTTAATAACAGATTAAATGTTTTGTTAGAGTCATGTCTAGAAATGTGCAACTGATGTCAATCTCTCAATTTCCATTTGCTTTCATACAAAGGGAGCAGGTAAAGGAGTTTTACCTGAACTGTGTTTTTATTGAAATTATTACTTGTTGATAGAAAAACTGATTACATTCCTGCTTTGTAAGATTTTTGTTTTGCTTCTGGTGCATTCTTATTTGGATTCTTTCTCCTGTATAATGGTTATGTTGTTTTTTTCTTGATGTATTTTACAAAATTCAAACATCATTTACATGTAAGTATATTAGTGTTTTCAAAGAAAGTGATTCCTTACAGACAGCGCAGTTTATTGTCCGTTTTATCAATAAATGAATATTGAAGTTTATTTTACAAGTGTTCATCTCAACTAAAAAAGCAGAAATATATCCTTTTAAAAAGAGAGATTTAAAAATGAGTGAAGGGCTATTTATTTATAACTTGATTACTTTCCAGGGAATGCCAGGACCATCTGGAATACCAGGAAAAGAAGGACCAGCTGGACCACGTGGTCAAAAGGTAACATTTCACATTTTGCAGTAGCATAATCATTTCACATTTTTGCAGTAGCATAATTTCACATTTGCAGTAGCATTATCATTAAAACACAAATTTATATTGCTTTGTATCATTGAGTAGTTATTTATGATGACAATGTGTGATACATGTGTTATAAAGTATAAATTTTTGTACTTTAAATTTTTACAAATCTTATGATAAATATTCTTACGTGAATTAATTATTAAAAAATTTATAAAACAGAAGGTATTAAGTGATTTTATAATTTGTTTGTTTTCAGGGAGATATGGGAGAACCAGGGACAGATGGACGAGATGGACTGACTGGACCAGAGGGACCCTCAGGTCCACCAGGTGCTGCTGGACCACGGGGACTGCCAGGAGCCCCTGGAGCCCCAGGGGTACCAGGTGTGCCTGGACTCCAAGGACCCCCGGGAACATGTTCATCCTCTCCCATCCGTGGGGATATGACAGGGCTTGGTGATGATCTGGTTAGTATTGTATTGGTTCATTAACAAACAAATTTCATCTTTAGTCATTACTAAAATAAATTTCAATATGAAAGATTAATTGTTACTGGTAATTTTTAAGAAAACTAAGTTCTTGTTGAAATACATTTATTGAAAAAATGAATATCAATAGCTGCTTGTGTCTATTAAAATGTATGTCAAGCTTGTTATTCTTCAAGTTTAGCATTTTTACTTATCATTATACATAAATCTCCAGGAATTTTCGGGATCTGGGGACGGATGTGGTGGAGACTGTACCTGTACTGGGACACCAGGACGAGATGGAATCAATGGCACAATGGGACCCAGAGGTTTACCTGGTCCCCCAGGAGCCCGAGGAGAGAAAGGAGAGAGGGGACTTCAGGGTCGAGATGGAAAGGAGGGACCTGCAGGCAAAAGAGGGGAACCAGGTCCCACGGTTAGTACAGAATAATGTCTCTTCATATCCATAAGAAGATGTTAATGTTCATCATTATTTTGTAAGAATATGAAATGATTTTTAAAAATATAGCTAGGAAATTTTCTATGAAATAAAAGGATATATGTTAGTTTTTTGAGATGATTTGACTGAGCTTATATTTAATTTTCTTGACCAGGGAGAGCCTGGACGTGTAGGGCCCCAGGGGCCACAGGGTGAGACAGGTGCAATGGGATCCCCCGGCTTGCCAGGTGTACCAGGTGAAATTGGTCTCCCAGGACTAGAGGGACCAAAGGTAATGAATGTTTATTATTCATTCACATGTAAAGAAAGTCATTAAACAAAGGCCAAAATTACTCGTACATGTACAGTCATTAGAACTACATGTATTTCCAAAAATAACAATTGTTAAACATTTTGTATTATATAGGGTGAAAAGGGAGATCAGGGTGTTGGAGTTGCAGGTAAAGATGGAAAAGATGGGGCACAGGGACCCCCCGGGCCTCCTGGACCCCCAGGGCCCCCTGGACCAGCCATCAGTGTGGTGGAGCCAGGGTCAGGTGGAGTAGAAGGTGGGGATGGATCACCTGGTCAAAAGGTAAAATCACTTTTGATGAAAAAAAAAATGAGTCTTGAAAACAAATGAGTCAAAATGATATTCTTGTTTGTAGCAAGTTGTATCTGCAATTTGTCAGTTTGAAGTCTCTTTGCAACAACTTGTTTCCAATACTGAAGTATTATTCTACATGAATAGGCAATAAAAACAATTGTTCTCATTTAGAATTATTTGCTGCTAAATGAATGTTGCCAAACTAATGAATACATGTATTTCATACCAGCAAATAAAAGTATTTACAGTAATATACCTCTTTTCATACCAACAAATGATATTAGTTACACAGTCAGTTTGTGACCTAATACGGAGTCATACAGGGTGTGAAATGGAAATCCATATTGGGCGAGGCGAAGCCAAGTCCCAATACGGATTTCCATTTCACACCCTGTATGACTCCATATTAGGTCACTAACTGACTGTGTTATGAATTTATCCTGCTGAAGACCTTCTTAAATAATAAAGAAATCTATGCATATTACAAAAATATCAATTTTTAGTCCAATAATAATCAACATAAAATAACGTAACAAGAAATTTAAGTAAACTACCTGTGGACTCAAACGTTTCTTAGCCGCCATTTTTATTTACAATAACAAAGCTTCAAACGGAAACGCGTGCCCGATTTTAATATTACTCCATGACGGCAACGTAATGCGGCAAATTTCAGGTTGTCACTTGATTAGCTTTTATCCAATCAGTAATCTACAAATTTGTCTGAAGCGGGATAAAGGTATTTACAGTAATAAACTTTCTCATAGTGTACGAAAACATTTTGGTTAGGTCATATATGTTACATTATTTTGTGCTACTGGGTGACGGACTGTGATTTCAGAAAAAAGTGTGTATTCACTTAACTTATTTTGTCTTGAATGAAAACTTAAAAAAAAAAGTAAACTGTATACATGTTTGGGAACGAGGAGAGAAAATATTACTATTAGGCATTTATGCCTATATTGTTTAGCTCTTACAGTGGATGAAAATATGATTGGAATTTCTTTTTGGGTTTTCATTGAGTTTGATTGTAAGCATTGAAACCTTGTAGGGAGAGAAGGGTGACACAGGTCTCCAGGGAGCCCCAGGCACACCAGGATTACCAGGTGACGACGGAGAGAAGGGGGACAAAGGGGATCAGGGAGAAAAGGGGTCTGTGGGAGACACTGGAATTCAAGGACTTACTGTAAGTTAATTAATACTTTAATATGCTGTTTTGATGATACCTGGTGCAAATTTTCTATACATAACTTAATTTTTCAATGTATTAATTTCTTGAAGATGTAAACTATATATACTTTCTCAGGGTGCCAAGGGTGAGAGAGGTGAAACTGGACCTGTTGGACCAGCTGGGCCCCCTGGCTTACCCGGAGATGGGGGAAGTGGAAAGCCTCTGGTGGTATGATATTATTGACATTATATAACCACTTGTTATGGAATTTTCTCTTGAATTATTTTAGAGCTGCAGAGATGATTCATATATTTTATACTAGACTTTCTTGAACAAATTCATACACCTTGTACTAGTCTTAATCAACCTCCAGATATTGTAAGAACATCAGCTGAGAATATACAGTGACCTGTGTGAATTATTTTCAGGGTCTGAAAGGAGAACCAGGGGTGCCTGGACAACCAGGCTTGCCAGGACCAATAGGACCGCGTGGTCTACCAGGCCGTAAAGGAGACATTGGAATGCCAGGAATACCAGTAAGTATCCTCTAGCATTAGTCATCTAAGACTCTGGTTGATCCTTAGTGATTGATATTAATGTCAGTTAAATTATTGAAGTGATGAACAAGTCCTGCATGAACCGTTTCAAGAGGAGATGTATGAAATATTAAAAAAAATTTGTATGCATTTACAGAAATTGTAAACTGGAACACGAAAGATGCATCTTAACTCTACTTTTAATTTGAAAAAATAATGTTTCATGTTTTCCTTTTAAGATGACAGATTTTATTGAGAGTGTTGTTGTTTTAGGGTCGTAGAGGATTCCGAGGCAGGAAAGGTGACCGTGGATTTGGACCTCGAGGATTCAAGGGAGATAAAGGAGATGCAGGACCTCCAGGTCCCCCTGGACTTGGTTTGGGCCCAAGTGGAGAAATCATTCGTGGAGCCAAGGTGGGTTAAAAGTAATGGTTCTGTCACAATTTATTGGGATTCTTATAAATTCTGGGTTATTTTTAATGCTTGAACCTTTTTTGCTGTAGGGAGATCGTGGAGAGAGAGGTTTACCAGGCATTCCTGGAACAGGAGCACCAGGTATTTTATCCTCCACTTTACAAGAGCAATACTTCTGAAAATAAATTATTTCAATATTTAGGACTCAATTTTTAAATAGATTTTTTTCTGTTTGCAAACCACGATGCTTAAAATTGAATGTTAGTAGAATTTTTTCTCAGAATTGATTCATTTTATCTTTATTTCTAATATGATAGGAGAAAGAGGTTATCCTGGACAACCAGGCCCCAGAGGTTTACCTGGACTACCGGTATGGACCATAATGTATATACAGTGAAACTTGTCTGATTCAGATGTTGGACATTCTGAAATCTCTTATGATATGATGTAAACTTTATGGCCCTTTCATTAAATTCAGTTGGTTAAAATGTTGATAATCTGGAGTGTTGTCAATTGAACCAGTGACGAATTTTACTGTATAACTCCTGTGTAACAATTCACTGCTTAATTGTCAGTCAACCCTCTTATTTGTTGGGCTTTGATTCCACCTCAGAGGTTAAGAAACCATGTAATATAATATTTATAAGCAGATTCCAATTCCTACATGTTCTTTTCTTTTTAATATAAAAAGTTATTCTAATTAACCTGGAAATTAAAAGTAGACCTCCTCTGTAATTTTTTTAGGAGAAAATTTTACTAAATCCTGTACTATCTGTGAATAAAAGGAATTCATCAACATTTCAAGTAATTGATCAATGAAAAGTTTTAAATGTTCCACAGAAAAGGGAAATTATAAATATACAAGTTTCCTAGTCTATTTGGGCCATAGTGTTTTGTAGTTTTTGTAGGCCTTTAAAATGAGATCATAACTAAATTTTGCTGGGAGATTCTACTTATCATGAAGATAATTCTTTCTCTCAGGGCCAGAAGGGTGACAAAGGTGATGAAGGAAGAAAGGGAGAGCCTTCATATATCCAGGGACCACCTGGCCCCCCTGGGCGCCCTGGAACTGGTGGAAATGGGAACGGTGGCGTAAGCATTTATGGTGTTTACAGCAGAAATCTCTGTATTTTGTTTTAAATCTATGGTTGTAGCAAACTGAAAGAAATTCAATAGATCATTCTTGAGGGATTAAGAGGATTACTGACCTTGTTATACTAGTTTAAAAAAAAAAATGGAGTTTTAATAAGTTTGTAGCCATGCAGTGATAAATTTATTTATTAAATATTTGATTCCAACATTGAGTACAATTGTTATAATTTATATAGATGGTCTTTTTGGATATTTGGGACACTGAATACTAATTTTGTTTGTTCTTACAGGGGCTTTTGACATTTAAAGACTTTAACAACATGCTGTATGCAGCAAGGAATCTTCCCATTGGTACCATGACTTTTACCCTAAAAGAGGAAGAAGTTTATGTCAGAGTGACAGAGGGATTTAAACAGTTGCAGGTAATTCAAGAATATCAGAATGTCAATAGTTCTGTATTGGTGTGTTAGAAAGCTTTAATATAATTATAAATTCAGGTGCATTTTGATTGTATTGAGATTTTATTAAGATTTTATATTTGCACATGACCTTGATTTTACAAATACTGTGTTCAGGGACGATTGATCAGGGTGAGTTATCACTGTACGCTATAAAAATGATTGTGGCTTAAGCATTACTTAGATAACACAAAAAAAGGGCAGAGCTTCTATTGTGGTTCTGGATAAATGCTTTATTCTTTCAATATTTTTATTTTTACAGAAATCTCTGTTAAAAGATAATTACTGAAATCTTGCTTATCAAAAGTATTTGTAATGGTTTTCTCCAGATACATACAGCTTAAATATTGCAAAAATCACGAGTTTATTGATTATAAAAACAGCATGAACTCTCACTGGGCTTTTAACTAACTTTAAATGTAAAAGGGAGTAAAAATGCTTACCAAAATATTATGGAGCTTTTGTAATTAGGGCCCCGCAAGGATTTGCGGGTGCCCTATAGTAATCACTCTGTCCGTCCGTCTGTCTGTCTGTCTGTCTGTCTGTCTGTCCGTCTGTCACTCTTCCGTCCACAAATTTTCTGTTTTTTTCTAATAACTTTTTTTATGGTTGCCCAATCAAGTTCAATTTTGGTATGGTAGTTCAGTAGGCAGAAATACATATTTTGATGCTAAGTTTGGTTCTCTATGTCTTCTGGTTTGGAGCTGGGGTGGTGGGGTAGATTCCTTAACTATGCATAAGAATGAACAGACAACTTTTTTTATGGTTGCCCAATCAAGTACAAATTTGGTACCGTAGTTCAGTAGGCAGAAATACATATTTTGATGCTAAGTTTGATTCTCTATGTCCCCTGGTTTGGAGCTGGGGTGGTGGGGTAGATTCCTTAACTTTATATAAGAATTGCATTGGCAAAGAGAGATAACTGCTGAAGATGTTCCCATTGTAAAATGAATGCTGCTAGGAGTCCATTGGGATTAATTAGCTTTCCTCCTGAAGAAAATCCAGAGCATTATCTTTATCTGTCACATTGAGATTAATTACCACCTCTGTCTGCAAATGAAGTTTGTTTTGAAGTTAAATCAATTTGGAATCCTATGAACACTCTGAAATGTGGATTTAAATATAAATTTTTATTATTTATTTTTGTTTGATAGTTATGATTTCATTGAATTCTAAAAAAAAGAAATAGATTAAAGAAGATTTTTTGATTTACTTTTTTCACTTTTTTTTAATACATTAATTCAAGAATATTATTAATTTTAAATGTAGTTGTATAAAAACCCCATTCTATCATTAATACTGAAAAAGTCTTATTGTAAATTTAGAAGAAAATGATGAGAGAGGTACAATTAATCCCTTGGGATTAATTATCTAGCCTGCTGCAGAAAATTTAGTAGGCTTTTCTTTATCTGTCACTTTAAGATTAATGAAAACCTTTGTCTGCAACTGCTGTTTGTTTGAAGTTAAGGTCAAGCCTTCATGATATTTGCATTTATTGAAGGCTGGCATTTTATATAACACAAGCTTCATAATTGTTTAAATATAAAGTTATTAATATTAAGTTGTTCTTTACTGCCTAATGTAAATACAAGGATATTATTTTCAGGTTTTTGAATATTCAGAAATTATCTTGAAATTTTAAGAATACAGTTGCTGTTGCTTATTCTTCGTACATTTATTAATCATTCTGTAAGCTGCACCCTTTTAATTCTACCCCATGGCGGGGCCCTTGCTGACTGGTCAGTTTTCTAGTTGCATATGTGTTGAATTAAGGTATAAATATTCAAAGTTGTTTATGAAAGAAAATTGAATGATTAAATAAGAAAAAGCAAAATTATTAAATATTGACATACTGGTCAGTTGAATTTCATTTTTTCATACAATATGATACGTGTATCACAAGCTTTCTATTTCATTTGGTTACATTGAAAATTAATGCACAGGTATATCTGTAAGCATGTTATTGTTCAAAAAATATATGTATAATTCAAGATGAAGAAAAGAGTCTTGCATTGCACAGATAATTTAGGGGAAATAAAATTTGAGAAATTATTCTCTCACAATCTGCTTTTACTGCTTTCATTATAGTTTTGTAGGGAGTTGAAAACTAGTACGGAAATAATTGTGAAATGTATGTTTTTTAAAATCATTTTTTGAAAAAAACCTTATAAATGTCAGTAAAATATATCAGTATTATTGTATTTTTATTACTAAAAAATCATATATTCTGTAGTATTATGCCACAGTTGTAAATGCCAAACATTAGGAGATAAAACTAAAAAAAAAAATTTATTTTAGAGAAATATTTTTATACAACTTTCTTAATTGAAATTTCAAAGATCTTAATGACAGGATAAGTAGATTGAAAATATTATGAGGGTCAATGACTTTCCTTTATTGGTCATATATGATTGAGCAAAATTTCTGTTTTAGATGAGCTCCAACATAATCAGACTTCCTGCAGAAAAGGTAAGTGTCAGAATTAAGAGATGGAAATCTGCTTGCCACGGCAGCTTAATAATTTTCAATGCTGAGAGCTTAATAATTTTAATGTTCACATTCATGTATACAGCTGATTAACTGTATAAATTATCATAGAAATCATTGAAATATATTGATTACAGAAGGAGCTTTGAAGACTGTACAAAATCAGTATATAATGAACTACTTGTGACAATTCACACCCAGTTGTACTGGTACTATAGATTCAATTGATCGACTTGTAATATTGATTATCTTTATTACTTTGAAGTAGATCTATTTGTTAAGTACATGAAATTGATTCCATCATATTTGTGTTTTCAAAAATCATAAAATTTCAAAAATGACAAGTGTACTACTGAATCAAAGCAGCTGCTCTCTTCTTTCTAAAATAATTCACATTCAATAACGTACGATAACATGAACCTTGTATATTTAATATGAAACAAAGACAGGCTTCATTGACAAGTGTATAAAGAGTGAAAGAAGTGTTGTTTTTAAGACTTTAACATGGACAATCCATCTCTTCCTTCTAGCTTACAGAAAATTCTTCCACTACTACTAGTACAATCACTAGTACCTCGGTTTGTAAAAATTACCAAATCTAGTACCTTAGATACTAACAAAGGATCTCCAGATCCTTACCCCTGTTCTTACTGTATTAATATTAGAAATCCTAATGCAACTGTGCCAACAAAATTTATATGTTTGTCATGCTAACACATTTTATCTACAAAGTCACATTCTCCCTCCAAACACAGATATTTTTTTAATTTACAGAAATAGTTAAACTCTGAAACACTGCAGCACTAGAAAGATATGAATGATTTCATGTACATGCAGTCTAGGTTTTGGTAGCTTTTGTTTCTTTTTTGCTTATTTTTGCACAGCAGTTTATTGCCAGACAGTGTATCAGACAATCATTTTTCAGTGCCACTTACAATAATAAGCTTGCTAATCTAATATTTTTTTGCAGACATTTGTACGAAAGGCTATTAATCTTACTGTGACTACTTTTCTGTGCATGCATTTTCTTTAGACTTTTGTCATTTACTAAAACAAAACAAAAATACACATGTAATGAGATAGGTATAATATGAGAAAAAAATTGTAATTTTGTGCCCATTCAGTGAGATAAAATATTTAAAATATATCGTACATGATAAGCATACATTGTATTTTGTATTATTCATTAATTTCATTGTGTACAATACATCATTGCTAGTAGGAAAAAAAGCATACACAATGTTAACATTTTAGTTTGTTGTGTATATTTGAGATGCAAACTTTTCATATGCAGAAAATTTATTATGTATTAATAATTATGTATTCTGTTTAATTTTTACAGCCTGCTTCTACACCCAAGCCTATTCCACTTCCTGGACCTGACAGTGTAATGCAGGCAGATCAACCCAGGGTAAATATGACTGCTAAAAATAATCCTAAAAGTCATCAGAAAAATATTGTTTGTAAGAATCACATAACCTTAATGACACTGACGAACTTTGTGAAAAGGGCGTGGGAAATCTTATTGTTTTTAAGAATCGCATAACCTTAATGACATGGATTATCTATACAAATGAATGTTTAACGTGATGTTCTGTTTTATAGTTGTACATGTACGCCCTGAATGCTCCCAAATCGGGAAAACTACGGGGCTTGACGGGAGCTGACTATGCTTGTTACAAGGAGGCTTACTACTCGGGGATGCATGGACGAACCTTTAGGGCCTTCCTGGCTTCCAAGACCCAGAACCTGTATTCCATCGTGTCCGACAAAAATATTCCTATTGTCAACAAAAACGTAAGTTATAAAAATATAATTTCAAATTATTTAAAATAAAAAAAGACAGTGTCTGAGAAATGGTAAAAAATTTAAAATTCACATATATATATAAAAGTTTGCTTGTACACATTAAATATTCAGTTGTTGGAGTAATTAAGGTAAAAAGATTGAGATTTACAGTGTATTTATGTGATACAATAATTGTTAGTTCTTTAAATGAGTATGGAATTTTTTTATGTTGTGGAGGAAGGTAAAAGTTTTGCCATTTGTTTGTAGGATACAATAATCTTCAGTTCTTTCAATGAACTGCTAAAGACTGGAGGACGATTTAACAGAAATGTCAGGATCTACACATTTGATGGAGAGGATGTAATGTCAAGTCCAAAATGGTATGACAGTTGACAATTTGGAAAGTTTATGGCTAATACATGTATTGCCTTCTTTTTTTTAAAAAACAGATATCATTTAAAAGGGGATTTTTTAAGACAGCTAAAATATTGGATTTTCAAAGATAATGTTTGTATTTGTTGTTGGAAAAAAGAAATGAAAATAATGACAATCCATTTATTACCAGGCCAGAGAAGATGGTATGGCATGGTGCTGACAGCAACGGAAACAAGATGAACGACAAGGAATGCTCTGATTGGCGGTCAGACAGTTCCAGTCGTGTAGGCTACGCCGGTTCTCTCCGGGACGGAAAATTAGTGGACATGAACGAGGCCAGCTGTAGAAAACAACTCGTTGTGTTGTGTATTGAGGTTTTACCAAAGACTCCGAAAAAACCTTACAATTAAAAAGTGCCATGTTATTGTTGCTATAATTGTACATTTTATATTTTTCATTCTTATAACCTTCTACAATTTTTTTTAACCATTTTAGTATATATTTGTAAAGAATTTAGCCACTTTCATTTCTTTGGTCAGTATTTTTATATGTGAACAAAAATGAGAAATTTTGATTTTTTTTTTTAACATGGATAGTAATCCAACTAGACAGCTGTGATATTACTTTGGAACAAATATTAATCACCCACCAAAGAATGACAAGATTTTAAAATATACTTTTTATTATTGTACCAGATTTAACCGTAATGATGTAGTCATTTTTCTCTGTTAATTAGAAAAAGTTAGAATTTCTAGATGTATTTTCTTCTTAAGAAATCAGTGGCTGTAGATCAAAATTGTTCTGTAGTAACTTTTTACACTGTTGTGTGCATATAGAAGTAGCTGATTCCCATAATTTACCAACACCAAATGAATGTCCTCCGATGACTCTAAACCAATAACATATTGTTGTAGATTATTTATGCCAGATTACTTGTACCAGTTCTATGTCCTCATCTAATGTGTATGATGATTGATTGGTGAAAAAAAAATTTCAACCTTCAAAGCATTTATACAACTGTATACTTAAAAAGTCAAAATTGTAACATTCAGATAGGTTTACTCTCATCATATAAAGATATCCAGATGTTTCTTAAGTATTGTAAATAGATAACTTTTGTTGGCCTCAAGCTATTTACTCTTGCATGTAACTTACGGTTTTTAATATGCTTGAAAATATTGTACATGCTTTGTTATTTGAATACCCAAATTTCTGAACAAAATACATGGAATACTAGCTTTATGATATATATAAGTAAAGTTAAGTCACTTCATTATTAAGAAAAAAGTGCTTAAATGCTCAGAAAGGTTGTATTTTGTATGAAAATCACATTTTACATTTGATTGTTTTTACTCTACAAAGTATTCAGTAGTACCCCATATATCATTCATTGTATTGTCAAATATGTAATATGTAGACACTATTGTGTGCCCTGGTCAAGTGCAGAATGTTTGAGTGGTGTGAAATCATTGTGTTTACTTGTTTTATATAACAATTAAAATAGATAATCTTGGCTGCTGCAGAAGATAAAGATGAAAAATATGTTGAGTAAAGAAAAGAATTTTTGGGTATCTTAGATAAATTTTTTTAACCAAATGATTTTAAAAAAAAAAGAACAAATAAGTGATTTTTGAAAAGATTTTGAGTGCTTTTTTTTAATGATAAAATATTTGTTGGGCATTTAGTTGTTGTAAATGTTTGTTTGATCTTCAGACATATGCATTTAGTTTTTAGATGCTTTGTTTATGAACAGTATTGCATTCTGAAATGTTACAATATACCCTATATATTACAAGCATTAAAGTTGGTGTACTGTTTGTCATAAAAAATTGTTTCATTTTTGTTTAAGTGTAAAATGCAAACATATGTTAGCTTTGTCTTTATATATCCTATGTTGAAATGGTGAAAAGAAATTTCTTTCAAGAATTTTAATGACTAATGATCGAGCTAGTGAATTTGTGAAAACAGTAAATCTCCATTTTTTTCAAATATTGAAAAGGTACCTAAATGCTTCAAAGTTGCTTTATATAATCATATATTGCAAATTCAGCAAGGTAAAATTACTACTATAGTTTGGATTTTGATTTATATTATGAAAGTATGTAAACAGATTTTTAAATGAATATCTTACATTGATACATGTACTATATTTGTATTTTTCCCTATTAAAAGCCTAAATTCTGTGCCAGTTACATGTATCTCTGCTAATCACTTCATGACAAATATACATAATAAAAGCTTTTAATAATATTCAAGTCTGCATCTTCTTGTGATAATGAGACAGAGAGATTATAGAGGATTTTACACATACATTAACAAATGGATTCTTAATCCTGGCCAAATCAATTCCGATACCACTTGCTGAAATTATTGCTGATGAAAGAATTCTGCATTTGATCATAGTTAAAATTCTGAAACTTGTCCCTATCCAGACAAACTAAGTGCAGAGACTTGGTGAGCAAGAATGCCTCCTCCAAAATTGTGAATAAAAATGAATGGACCTGCTTCAAAATGTAGGTCAGATCCAACATTAGAAGCAAATATGGAAATGTAAATCCAATCAATATCCTTGGAAGTTTGGTCACCTCCAGGCTTATAATTACCCTGGAAGGAACCTGCTTAAAAGCTTTGAACCTGTTCACTACGAAAATATAATTGTCATATTTAGCATCTGACAACTTGGTAATGCATTTGGTCCAGGTAGGGTTTCCAATAATTTGGGAATGGACCTACTCTGTAACATAAAACCTTTTCAAGTAATCCAGAAAATGTGGTTCAGATGTAGAATCCAAAGCAAGTCTGGTAGTGTGCATTCCTAGATGTATCATTCGTGCAGGTTTGATCCAGGCATATAGTTACTTAGACTTGGACCGAAACACTGCTTAATACTATTCATCCTGAAATGCATCATTCATTCAAGTTTGGTCATTAAAGGACTTAATTGTTACCTCATTTGGACTAGACATGACAAAACAAAAACAAAACTTGAACCCGCGGTCACTCATCTGATAAATGTAGGTCTGACCCAGGATCTTAAGCAAGTGAAGTACATTTACTTAGTGCATACCAGTATCCTTAAATGCTTTGGTCCAGCCTTGGTTTTATATACTTTCTTGACCAAGGACATGCCCATAAAAATTTAACCAGAACACCAACTCTTGAACAGGGGGTATAGCTTGACCTCATTTTGAAATGCACCAAAGTAACCTACACTTGCAGGACAATTTCTGCAATTGGACTTGTTTCAGCTTATACCCCAATTCTTTGGGCCATCAAACCTTAAATTTGTTGCATTTGGGTGTTTGGGACGCAATCATGGAAGATCCACTTAAGTCACACTACATGTATCCTAGTCTTGGGATATAAGTGGTCAGGTATCGGAAATTGTTACAAGTCATACCCCTCCCCCCATCTGGTAAAGAAACATCAACTTCAAACCATAAGAATTCCATACTATGAATAGAAGCTTTATTTCTTTAAAAAAAATTAGATTTAAAACAAGGAGCAGTTATACATGTAAGAATAAAATGATGTATGCACTATATTATTTTTTAAATTCATGTTTTGCACAAAAAAACGCATAAATTGTAAAATTGATCTTTAAAACAATAAATAAATACACATGTATAATTTAACATACTAGTACATGCACTATGCGTATAAACAGTTATCAATATAGACAATTTCAAATTGGTATCGAAGAAAAAAATCAATAGAAATATCTGGATATGGAATCCTTGATTTTCAATGTTACATTTTTCTCACAAGTATCGATATAATGCTTTGCATGTTCACGTACTGTCAAGTGTGAAAAATGTTATTGCGTAAGGTCTGCAAGTGTGGCTTGTCGGAAAGAATCTCGTATACTCTCGACATGCTGATACCACTTTCAATAAGAAACTGCTTTGGAACTGTCTTCAGTAAATCTTGGTGTTCTTGCTCGTACACAAAGGATGGGAAGCCTTGTTGTAGCATCAAACACACAACTGGTTTCTCTTCATGCATTTGTATTAAACCAGGGCTACCAGATGCACCATGGGCAGTAGATTCTGAGCAGTGGAACAGTACTTTTCCTTTTCCCCTGAATGCTGAACCATAAGCATTTCTAAAATCTTCAACATTTTCTCTTGGGTAAGCATTCCTCCACCAATCAACTGCTCTTTGACAAGTCGACTTGGCTTCAGCCAATGAAATCAGAGGACAGTGGGGATCAAGGATTTGTTCGCTCTTGTGAGAATCTGGATAGCCAATGATATGAACTGATTTGGGTGGTGTGTTGGATCTCTGCAGGCTGAATGGTTTAGGTAAGCTTGTCCAGTCAACTTCCAGGATGGCTACATCATCACTACTACTGTAGAAAGGTACATCAAGCTTTAGGGGGTATGGTAGAACATCCTCTTGTTCACTCAATCGACCAAAAACCACAGACATACGGTTTTGTGTGATTTCTTTTGAAGCTTGGACTATAAAGAATGAAGTATATATCATTTATTACAAATTTGTTATTAGTATCTCATGTGCATGTATATATTAGGTAGTGTACTTATAAAAGAATTCATTACCCTTTGCTAGGGAGAATCCTGAATCTCCTAGAACATCTAATAATCTGCTGAAGTTAATGCTGTCAATATTCTTTTCTGCCCATTTCTTAATCCCATTTTCTATCTTCTTCTCAATGTCTGTTCCATAACTGGCCATCTCAATATCTGTTCCCAATTTCCTCAAATTTTCCAGTAATTGTGTACAACAGTTCACACGATTTGGGTCACTTAAGGCCTTTGTTATAATGGTGTCAAGGTACCAAACTGAAAATTTTAATCAAGTATATTGACTTGGTTCATATAATTTTGGCAAATTGATCATTTTAAGGTCATAAGCATCATACATATGAACCTTTCCAAGTCCTTCATCCAGTGATAATAATTTTCAAAGGATGCATGTTCTATATGTGCTCAGTGCAGAAGTTTTGAAAACACGTCAAATGAAGAAAATCCTTATGTTAATTAAATATTCAAAGAAAAAAATACAAAAATATGGTTTTCAATGTTTTTTCCTCAAAATTTGATGTAAAAGTGGCATACTGCATCATTAAGCATTACAAAAGTCACTTAAAGGTCCTCAGTCACTGGAATTCATAAATTATAAGGGAATAAGTAAATACATATATGTTTTAAACTACATTTCACATGCCCTATAAAGTCTGCCTCTAACTCACCCACTGCCTCCTTGATGATGTGATAGGCTGTCATCAGGTAGCTGTCCCCGACCCTGAATGCAGTCCCCGTCTTAGCCCCACACAATAAATGCCCCACACTTTTGTCCCATTCAGAGTAAAAATTCTTCAGTTCTTTCCCCCTCAGACTGTCATCTCTTTCCTTTCTGAATTCCGCTGAGGAAGCTGTTACAAAAAAAAAATAAATAGAAATGTTCACTTACAAATAAGCTGATCATATTCATTTGACAATGGCTTAATGTAAATAATGTGTACTTACTTCCAAAGTCAATTTTTCCACGTTTTGGGGATTTTTGTCCTTCATCATCTGTTTTAGATCTGTCTCGTTTACCTAAAGAAGCAAAAAAGATACCTGATTATGTATAGGAATATCTTGAATAAAAAAATATATTTACAGCCTAATACAGCAATTAATATAATATACCCACACAATAATTATAAAAAACATACATACTGGTACTTTCTATCTTGCATCTAACACGACCAGAATTTCCAAATGCCACCATTCCTCCACTAGCTGTTATGTCTCCAACATTAAAACTGTTACACACACACAACAATTGATAAAAACAGTTAATTGCTACATAGCCTGCTGCTGTACAAAATTTTTTTCTGATTTTTTGAGGTTCGGTTTCGGGTTTCTCGGGTCGGGTAGGTAATGGAAGAAAAGCTCATGATTTGTATTATTTTCAACAATAAAAAGAATATTCTCATTTAATCTTAGAAATTGCAACATTTTAACTAGTTTAAAGTATAGCCTCCTGACTAGACAACAACTGTACCAAATTATTTTTAAATCACCTTTCAGGGTTTCCTACAGGACACTAGCATATTTACCAGAAAAGTTATGCCATTCTTCCTAAACTTCCTAAAATTATAGGCCAATAGAAAAGTTAAACTAACTAGATTGACTTTTACAAAATAGTCATTTTATTACATAAAATATTCAAACTTGTATATTAATTTTCCTTTTAATATGGTGGAAATATTATTTTGTTTCTTTGAAACAAAATTAATATATTGAAACAGAATGGTAATTGTTTTTTTTAAAATTCCATTCAATGTATTTAATATATGTCCCACCTTTCATTACATGTAAATGTAATTTATTTCTTGGGATTACAATTTTTAAAAATGTAATCCAAAAATACAGTATCTCTGATGATATTCAATGTATAATTATGTTTAAAGATTACCTAGACTATTTTTTTCCCTTAGTAAAACCTTGCCTGCCCCATATTCAATCATGGCGGTAAAAATAATTACTGTTTTAAACAATCACTACTTTATGCTCCTTGCAGTTGGGTTTGGATTATGAGTATTTTGTCAAGATCTATTTATACCAAAATGTCATTGGCTGATTGAATCGGCAGTACCCCTAGAGAAAAACCATCGGATCTGAATGGAGGAAAAATTAAAGATACAGAAGATAATCGGCCATTATGGCCTTATAGGCCAACATGGCAGGTAAACTTTTATTGGCAAATCAAAGAAACCCTGCCTTTTAATGACAATTTACTAACAAAACTCTCATTTTTTGGCACACAGTTCCTGCACTAATATTAATGTGTCACAATGCTTCATTGAGGCATCTTATCCCTTCTGTTCTCAGAAAAAGATTTTTATCTGTTAAATATCTGTTTGGGTTCATACGTTTGTTTAGCTGCTTGTTCCTTGATCTTGACAAATTACATTTACATATTAGAGATAAGCCTCACCTGACTGTGCAGAGGATGTGCCTGCAGACGTACCACTTGGTTCTTCTTCAGATTGGTCTTTAACATTAGGAACTTTCTGTGCTGAAGCTGATGATGCTGACTGTGATGAAGCCGGTGTGCTTTCAGACATTCTAGGCTCTCTGGCATCCCTTAGTTCTCCTGCAAACTTGCTTTTATCTTCATTATTTGTTTCCTCCATTAAATCTGCCTCTTCAGACATAATTTGCTCTGTTGCTCTGATACTGTTAACCATTCTTGAATCAATGTCCTTGACCAGAGTCACTAAAGTATCATAAGATCCTGGCTTAAGGTGACCTTTGTCATCAAGGACACTGAAAATTTCAGGAACAGACAGACTTTCCACTTCAAGTTCTGGAAACATGTGCATGACATTTTTCTTGAATTTCCGTAGATTTTGACCATTTTCAATATCTTCGCCGAGGAATTCTTTCGATATTTCCTCCAATAAATCATCATGTTGCTTTCTTGCTGCCTGTTCTGATGGAGATATTTCCATGACCTGAATAATAATAAAAAACAAAAATTGATAATTATTCCATTCTCATTATTGTCTTGAAAAGTCTCTTAAAATCATTATTAAGTTTAGATATGAAGCTGCTCAAGCAACCATAAAAGATCCTTAAACTATCAACAGAAGATTACACCGTAGCACCAAAAGTGATATTTGTCCCTATAATTATGAATTATGTCAGATGGATTATAAACACTCCTTTTATAAATTATTTTAACTTTACATAAAGAAGATACAGGCAATATAATGTGATGTATATTGTTTATACCTGCTCCCCAGGGGCTGCTGTATTTTCATTCTGGCTTGTCAGATTCCTGTCAGAAAATGGCAGATTGTTGTTGTCTGTTTTAAAAAAAATGTGATCACTCAAAAACATTTTCTTTTGGGTGTACTGATTAATTTCAAGTTTCCAATAAAATAAATAGATTCTTTAAATAAATTCTTATATCACACCAGTCATTTTTGTTTTAAATCTGTGTTAATTGGAATGGGTATACAAATGTCCTTGAGTATCTAGAGGACAGAGCACATTCAATAGTATCAAATGAAGTGAAATATTCTTATAAATACATGTAAAACAACTTAAATATTGAATGCGTTCAAAAATACAGACTTCAAAGAGTACTTTTTACTGCATTTTTGATATAGCAAAATTTTAAAGCTAAAATTTCCCTTCACATTACCTCTGGATTCCCTTTAAATATCCTAGATTTCCCTTACATCAGTACTTCCCCTACATACCCTCTGTGTTCACTTTACATACCCCCTGGATTCCCTTTACATACACTGTATTCTTTAAATTTCCATTGATAGATCCTCTTCCTTTTTAGATACTCTCTAAATTCCTCTTACATACCACTCTGGATTCCCTCTACAAATCCTTTGGATTCCTTTTAACAAACTCTATGAATTCCTCTTACATACCCTCTGCATTCCCCTTATACATGTACAGCTCAACAAACTTTCTAAGCTCACATGGTTTTTCGCACAAATTAAGGTCACATTGTTATGATGTAATATTGTGTATCGAGACAACAAAATGCATTTTAAAAGTATTTGTTTACATAATTTAAGTTTTATTTCATTTACTAAAACATCATTCACATAAATCAATAGGCAGAACTATAATATATTCATTGCTGAGAAATAGCAACTATTCTCATTTGAATTTTTGTGGTTTCTTTCCAATTTCAGTTGTCTTTTTATCCGTTCTTTTGAAAGCAATAGCTCTTGGCAGAAACGTAGACATGAGCAAAGCACAGCGTGTGTAACTTGTATTTTTTGTACATTTTGACGCTTTAACTCGGGGTGGTAATAGAATTTTTCATTTGTTTGATTGTTTTCTACATTAATAAGAAGGAATTTTTCAGAGTCAACTTCTAAAATCTAGAATTATGAGGGATTCATCCCAATGCAAAATTTTAAAATTTCAAACCGTAAATGCAGAAGAATTTTCCTTTTCATAGAAAGAGTTTACTATAAAAAATATAAACAATACTTCATTATCCTACCCTTAAATGTTGTTTCCTTCTGCAATGTTATTCCTTTTCGACGCTACATTTCGACAAAACCAGGAGGAGAATGGTTAATGAGTGAAGATTTTTTAAAAATACTCACCTTGAAAAAGAAAATTAAAAATGTTCATCTACATGGTATCAAGGAAAGCTCGATTTATACAATTTGTAAAAACCTACGGTGAATCGTAAAGTCGAATTATTCTACCATTTCTTTTTAAATTACCCTTTAAAATATCCACTTTGGAAACTTAAAATAATAATTTTAAAAGACATTTATGATTGACATTATATATGTAATATAATGAAGGCTTATGTTATTGTACTGCAGTTCGAAAATGGAAATTTTTCATTAAAACAATGTGACCTTAATTTGTGCGAAAAACCATGTGAGCTTAGAAAGTTTGTTGAGCTGTATATAACCTCTGGATTCCCTTTACATACCCTCTGGATTCCCTTTACATACCATCAAGATTCCCTTTACATACCCTCTGGATTCCCTTTACTTACTCTCTGGATTCCCTTTACATACCCTCTGGATTCCCTTTATTAACTCTCTGGATTCCCTTTACTTACCCTCTGGATTCCCTTTACATACCCTCTGGATTCCCTTTACTTACTCTCTGGATTCCCTTTACTTACTCTCTGGATTCCCTTTACATACCCACTGGATTCCCTTTACTTACCTTCTGGATTCCCTTTACTTACTCTCTGGATTCCCTTTACTTACCCTCTGGATTCCCTTTACTTACTCTCTGGATTCCCTTTACTTACCCTCTGGATTCCCTTTACTTACTCTCTGGATTCCCCTTACATACCCACTGGACTCCCTTTACATACCCTCTGGATTCCCTTTACTTACCCTCTGGATTCCCTTTACTTACCCTCTGAATTCCCTTTGCTTACCCACTGGATTCCCTTTACTTACCCTCTGAATTCCCTTTACATACCCTCTGGATTCTCTTTACTTACTCTCTGGATTCCCTTTATATACCCTCTGGATTCCCTTTACATACCCTCTGGATTCCCTTTACATACCCTCTGGATTCTCTTTACTTACTCTCTGGATTCCCTTTATATACCCTCTGGATTCCCTTTACATACCCTCTGGATTCCCTTTACTTACCTTCTGGATTTCCAGACAAATCCTCTAAAGAGACATTAAACTCCAGGTCATCTGGATCCAGACCAAAATCCTTGTAGCAGTCCTTGAAGAAATCTATTATCTCCTGCTTCAAAGTCCCATTATGGAAGTCATTCAGATATCTCTGGTAACCTTCTGCATTCTGAAATTCAAGCTGAAAAACTATGGATCCTCGTAAAATCTGCATGATGCACTCATACTTTTGCTTGACGTACATTCCAAAAGTAGTTGTCCTGGTGCAAATCTGGGTTTTTGTATTGGCACATCTGTCTTTAAAGTGGCACAGGATAGAATTGAAGCAAACCGGCAAACCTGGAATGGGTTGGTTTCTGGTCCTATACATTTCCAGAGTCCCTCCTCTGTCATGGCAGGAGAACCCATAGAAAATTGGATTTATGCTCTTGGCAACATTCAGTGTGTGAAACAAAGCATTGTTGATTTCAGGATAATCTAAGTTTGCAAGAACCTTAGTCTTCACTCTTTTTGGTCCCCCATCTATAAACGTATTTTTCATATTAATGAACACTATGAATTTACATACATCTTGATTGGAAAATATTGGCTGGAAACCTAGTTCTTATCAAAAGTGATAATTCATTATGTTTTATGTCTTGATTCAACTTTGAAAACTTTGAAACAAGAAGAAAGAAATGAAATAGAATGATATGGCTGTTTATATTAACATTCTACACACTTAGTCATCAAAATTCAAGTTTAAAAAAAAAAAAAAATCATTTATTCATCATGTTCATGCTGTCTTTATCTCTATGACCTTTTTGAAATACTTTTGCAACAGGAAATACAGATAAAGCTTTCATATTTTTCATATGTGCATATACTTGTGACTGAAAAGACTTTCCAGAGGAACTAATCTTCATGACCTTGACAATAAGGTTGACCACCTTTTCATGTGAGTTGCCTCAGTGAAAAGATATCTGGAATGTACACTTTTTTACTTTCATGACCTTGACCTTTCATTTGACCAGTTTCAAAACAAATTAAACCTTTGCTGTAAGCGATATGACTTCCATATTTTTACTTGTATCAATATTGTGAAGACTTCAGAATCCACTTTGATATTTTCTTTTCTCATGACCTTGATCTTGATGTTTGACTTTCAACCTTTGACCTTGGCCTTAATTTTTTGTACCAGATCATGTTACATCAAAAAAAAAATTATTAAAAAGTAAAATAGACAGACAAGATAGCTGAAATACTGATATGTCATATAAAGATCCTGTCCATGCATGTTGCACCTCACTGTCCTCAGCTAGACCTAGAAAGGGGGTAACTTTTTAATATATTCGATCAGTGCTTACTATTAATGCAAGATATATTACTGTAGTCAGCGGCGACTCACACAAATTGTTCCGACGAAAATAGTTCCATCATGATAAGTAGATACAACATTATTGTTCATGATAAGAATAATGCTGTGTATGTCATACGTAAAAGAAACCAAAATTAATGTAAATTTTTTCTCCAAAGATCACTTTCCCCCCTAAATGCCAATAAAAAATATTAATATTCCTACGCTCGCTCCCTCCTCAGCTTTTTTTTTTAACATGTTTGATAACAGAGAATATCGAGGTCATTCTTCGATTGATATTTTTTCACCGATGAATTGATTATACATGTACCATATCAACAATTGTAGTATAATCATGTTAATTGTTCGTTAATCATCTTATAGTTTCCTCTTAGAGAAAAAAATTAATCATTCTACGTGTCTGTTATATTAAATCACGGAATTTTCTATCCTTGAGCAGATTCCTGCACTTGTGTAGACAAACTGTAGGGAGGGTACCTATAAAATGTGCAACAAAACCCGAACTGGGCTGGAGATTTCTAAAGTGACATTCGGGATTGTATAATATTTATTAATCAGAATTTGTATTCATTTGATCTAATTAAGAAAAAAACTTTTGAATGCCATCGTTACTTCTCGGCAAAACAAAACGCGTAAAACTCTCCGAGCTCGGTAGATGCGTTTGCCAACTCCATCGCATGTGTGTAGACCAAGGCTAACTGGTCTTGCGGATACAGGTAATGTGTACTGTTTTTTAAGAGACTGGGTGACCGTAATGCTACGGAATCGCAAAATTTACACAAGTTCATAACTAGACAGTGCAGTTTTTTTTTTTTAAAAGTCATTCAACACTGTTTAACATATTAAATCTAAAAGTCGAATATCTTTGGATATGGGGTAACCCATATCCATTCTTGTTTATTACTCATTCTCAATGTTTTTACAACTTCCACTTGTTTATTGAGACCCTTTTGGATTATAATTAATCAAGATACGTATTTATAAAAAAAAAAGTTTTACTTGACTATATAGCTTGTTGGATTGTTTTAATCAATAAAAATTTATTTGTATCTTACCAATGATCTAAAAAAAATGAAGCAAAGAAATTTCCTTACTTTGATTTCGTTGACTGGTCATTTTCTTCAGGCAGTTCAGCTGTGTTCAGAAACTCTGCAGTGGAAACTGTAGAATAGGAGAAAATTCAATTTTGCGACCCTATTTACAAAAACTGGTATACTGTCATCACATAAATATCACTTTAATTAAATTATATCCAGTTAAAAAATTCTAGTTCATTTACAATGTTATTACGCATTTTATCCAAAACGAAAGTAGGCTAGAATTTTTCTAGAAAATATGAAATATTATTCCGGAACAAGTTCTTAGTGTGCAAGTCGAGTTTTATTTTTTTTTACACGGAAGTAGTAAGATATCAACATGGCGTCTGTAGCAGCATGGAACTTCCTGGCATTTAATTTAATTTTAATTACTCTTCAAGTTCTTGCAGGGTATGTATTCACTGTGATCTTGTTCGGGTGTTCAATATATATTTATTTCCATTCAACATTGAAAATATTGTGAGGATTTATGTGAATGACACTGTCAAAAAACACCGGTATTGTCAATGTTTACAGTTATGAACACTTGTAGAAATTTCATTGGATGAAATGTAAGAAGTTTTCATTAAGTCATTGTGTATATTAAAGAAGTCAAACTTGTATTTTAAGTCATGAATACACCTAGTAAAAGTGGTAATTTGAAGGAAAGTTGTTTCTCTTGACTTGCACACACCCCTTTTCCCTGACACCCCCCCCCCCTTGAAATGTTAGGATGGATGCTGTGGGTGTTGAATTATACATATAACCATGTAAATAATATAAAATCTGATACCAGATCTGTTGTCTCGAACAGTTAAAGCTCATGAATGATTTTATGTTGCCTTAAATGTTCAATTTAAGATTTTATTTTTGAAGTCAAAGTTTTTTTTAGGATTTATGTATATGATACACAGCTGTCCAAATTTTTATAGGATTTATTTATAATTTATATCGGATACACAGCTGTTAACATTTTTTTTTTTTTACAATTTTTCAGCTGAATAAACTAGTCACATTATTATGATAAATCATCTCGAATAAATTGGCAAAATATTCTGTTAACATGATACTAATATTTTTCAGTTAATCACTTTATTATATTTATATATTTTATACAAGTTTTATATTTTTTAGCAGTCCGTAGTAGCAAGGAAATGATGAAATATTAATTTTAGAACCATGTTCTTTTTGTACTGTAGTCGAGACTTTTACAAGATATTAGGAGTATCAAAAAATGCCAAACTCAATCAGATTAAGAAAGCCTACAGAACTTTAGCTAAGGAGTTGCATCCAGACAAAAATCCGGGTGATGAGGAAGCCAACAAGAGATTCCAGGACCTGGGGGCTGCTTACGAAGTAAGAACAGTATACGTGAAATCTATTGCATTTGTATTGTATTGCTATCTTTCTTGTTATCTTTACCAGTTTACATTATTATTGATTTTTTTTATGTTGCTGATGCCAACGATGAAAGATGACAATCAATTGAGAAATCATTATTTGCAGGTTTTATCTGATGCAGAGAAAAGAAAGATTTATGACAAACATGGAGAGGAGGGTTTGAGTAAGGGGGATGTGGGAGGAGATCCATTTTCCAGGTAAATTACAGTGAAACTTGTCTAATCTAGGTGTTGTGTAACCAAATATCCTGTCTAATACAGTGTTAACTTCAAGTCTTTTGGAGTAAATTCAATTTATTAAATGTTGTCTAATCCAAAATCTTGCCTAATTTCTCTGGAGCCATTGGTTTCACTACATATTTATTTTTTTCTGTATTTCAATAGTATAATTGCATAGCTTTTTTTAAAGGACTGGCGAATTTATGTTGTGGTTACAGACTTTCCATTGATTAAGCATGAAAAATTATGGAGTTTTGTTTATTTCAGCTTCTTTGGAGATTTTAGTTTCTTTGGAGGGGGAGGGGGACACAAAGACCGGGAGATCCCCCGGGGTGGGGATATTGTGATGGATTTAGATGTCACACTGGAGGAATTATACAGTGGAAACTTTGTAGAGGTTTGTATTGAAAATAAGTGCAAAATGTTTGAGTTTGAATTACTGCTCTTGGCAGGTGGTTTGACTTAAAGTCATATAGTTCATAATCATACAGAGCCAAAATTGCCAATAGTATAGATACATGTATAATCAATTATTTATGGAATTATAACAGAATGTGTTTATACATGTACTTGAGTTGTCCTTAGTACGGTATACATGGTTATTTTTACCCCAGGTTATTTTCGCCCTTTCACTTTTGCAAACAATTTCGTCTCATTTTCATTTCGCCCAGTCATAGTTTTGTATAAGAAATTATACTGTGTTCTTTAATTTGTCCTGTTTTAAACATGCCCAACTGAAAGTAGAGCAAAAATAAAACGGGGGCAAAAATTTCTATGTATACAGTATATATGACATAAATTTAAGATCTTTCCATTTCAAAACCAAATATGTTGAAGAATTGTTTATATTGAGCACTGACTAATTTTCCCCTTAATTTATTCTGCTCTCCTTATTTTGTGTATCGGAAATTGTAACCCATAAACTGTGAGTAGCCACCTCTCTGTTCTAGGTTGTTAGATACAAACCAGTGGCCAAGCCAGCCAAGGGAACCAGGAAGTGTAACTGTCGGACTGAAATGGTCACGCAACAACTCGGACCTGGACGCTTCCAGATGACCCAGCAGCAAGTCTGTGATGATTGTCCAAATGTAAAGTAGGTCCTAGTTAGATTTTCAAAAACTCAAAATTTAGTATGAAGTAATTCAACTATAATTTTGCAAATAAATCCTATTTGATTTATTTAGATGTCATGTGTAAAATGAGCTATTTTGGTTTCATTAAGAGCAAAATGCACATGCGTAATGGATGTGGCTATGTGAATTATGTACATTTGCATGAGAGTTATCTTTCCTGGGCCATATCTCTATTTGTCTCCATAACGGGACTTAACTCATATTGAGTTAAGTCTGATTATGATCTTTTAGATATGAAATTTTTTATATGCTGATACTATTTGTGTTACATGCTATTTTGCAGAATGGTTCCTGAGGAGAAACTTTTGGAAATTGAGATAGAACCTGGTATGAGAGATGGTCAAGAGTACCCATTTGTAGCAGAAGGTACAGCTAAAGTCAGGGTATTTATACCCCCCGCAAACGAAGTTTGGGGGGGGGTATATAGGAATCACCTTGTCCGTCTGTCTAGCTGTCCGTCTGACTGTGCAAACGTGTCCGGTCCATATCTTTCTTACGGAGGGACATTAGAATCTACTACTCCACACAAAGATTGCCCATGATCTAAGGGTGTGTCATGACCTTGACCCAAGGTCATTTGGGGAAGTTCAAGGTCACTGGAAGAAAAAGTTCATAATTCGTGTCCGGTCCATATCTTTCTTATGGATAAACTTGGTAGGTTCTTATTTCACACAAAGATTGCCCATGACCCAAGGGTGTGTCATGACCTTGACCCAAGGTAATTTGGGGAAGTTCAAGGTCACTGGAAGAAAAATTTAATTATTCGTGTCCGGTCTACATCTTTTTTATGGATAAACTTGGTAGGTTCTTATTTCATGCAAAGATTGCCCATGACCCAAGGGTGTGTCATGACCTTGACCCAAGGTCATTCGGGGAAATTCAAGGTCACTGGAAGAAAAAGTTCAAAATTCATGTCCAGTCCATATCTTTCTTATGAATAAACTTGGTAGGTTCTCATTTCACACAAAGATTGCCCATGACCTAAGGGTGTGTCATGACCTTGACCCAAGGTCATTTGGAGAAGCTCAAGGTCACTGGAAGAAAAATTCATAATTTGTTTCTGGTCCATATCTTTCTTATGGATAAACTTGGTAGGTTCTCATTTCACACAAAGATTGCCCATGACCCAAGGGTGTGTCGTGACCTTGACCCAAGGTCATTTGGGGAACTTCAAGGTCACTGGAAGAAAAATTTCATAATTCATGTGTGATACATATCTTTATTATGGAAAAACTTACCTCTGAAAAACCTAGCGGGGGGTATTTTGTCCCGTTTGGACAGTTCTAGTTTTATACAGGTACTTTATAACAATATTCTGTTTTTCATGTCCGCAGAGCTATCTTTATGTGTATGCTTTTCTTTTCAGGTGAACCTCACATTGATGGGGAACCAGGTGACCTAAGATTTAAAATAAGACAACAAAAGTAAGAGCTTGTAATTTTCATTTGAATTATAGCTCACAAGAAACAAAGGCTGACCTCAGCTTTTCTGATGGAGGAGTGTCTGTCTGTCTATTAATATTCTCCACTTCTTCTCCAGAGCAGCTACATTAATTTTAAACTTGCCTAAAACAAAAAAAATACAAGTATGTACAATTGACTAGGGCGAATTCCCCTGGTTCCTGGGTCTTAGGGACAACCCTGTGAAGTTTATATATATTCATGCATTTGCACTTTTCATGAACATTTTTTAAAATCTTAAAGTATTAATTCCTACTTTTGATTAATTCTTTTTGACAGACATAGAAGATTTGAGAGAAAGGGAGACGACTTGTATACAAATGTAACCATCACTCTCAAAGATGCCCTTATAGGATTTGAAATGGACATTAAGCATTTAGATGGTCATTTGGTAAGATTTCATTTTAACTGGAAAATATGTATGAGTAAAGTCATATTTTTTTTTTATTAAATTCACTTGAAGTGTAATTTATCAACAAAAAAAAAAACAAAATGTAAATTTTTGTAAAATATTTCTAATATTTTAATTACACTAGGTACATGTTGTTCGAGATAAAATAACATGGCCCGGAGCCCGCATGAGGAAGGCAGGAGAGGGTATGCCAAACTATGAGAACAACAATGTGAAAGGACAGCTATTTATAACATTTGATATAGAGTTTCCCAAAGGCACCCTCACAGAGGAGGATAAAGAAGGTAAGAATACACACGCTGAAATTTACATTGTTTACAGACCATTGAAACAGGTACACTTTTAAAGAAAATAAATGGCTACACATGATAAACAGTGAAAGTTTCGCTTATAACGAAGTGCAAGGGACGTGCAATTTTGATTCATTATACGTTATTCATTATATTCATGAAGATAACAATATTACGTTTTATTACATACTTAGTAATAAATACAGGATTTTTGCATATGCGATATGGCTGACGTCACAATAGCCATGATATGGATTTGTGGGGCTGATATAAGTTATCAGCCCTGCAGGGCTGATATGGATCAATATCACACCCTAGTAAATTAAACCTCAAAAAACAGTACTTGTGATCATAAATATATTTTGGAGGCAACATAATTCTCTTAATTTTAACTTTTTGAATGTAATGAAAATCTAACTGATAAATGATAGATTATTTTAAAATTACGGATTGAGGACATTTGAATTAAATAGAAGTGCATGCAGAAACAAACCAAAACTGTATGAGACAATAGACTGTGTTCATTTTAAGAAGTCAGTGCATGATTATTTACTTATTTTCTTCTCAACTTAATGTGTTCTGTATTTTATTACTAAGTATGTAATAAATATAATAAAACATACCCTTTTCCACATCACATCCTGTATCAGCCCATATCGAAAATAAATATAAAAATAATAGATTAAATAATACAAAAATAATACAAAAAAAGTATATTTTTAATGACCAAATTTGGAACCCTTTTTATCTTGGTTCCAAATTAGGTCAAAAATAATACACTTTCTTAGAAATGAAACACAAAAAAATATATTTTTAATATACTTTATTTCTCAGTAAAAATACAAAAATAATACACTTGATGTATTTTTTCTGTATTATTTGGAGCACCTTGAAAAAAAAAAGATAGGAAAATAATACAAAATGTATTAATTTTGTATCAGTCTATTATTTCTGTATTATTTGGAGCACCTTGAAAAAAATAGGAAAATAATACAAAATGTATTAATTTTGTATCAGTCTATTATTTCTGTATTATTTGGGGCACCTTGAAAAAAAGGAAAATAATACAAAATGTATTAATTTTGTATCAGTCTATTATTTCTGTATCATTTGGAGTACCTTGAAAAAAAAATAGGAAAATAATACAAAATGTATTAATTTTGTATCAGTCTATTATTTCTGTATTATTTGGAGCACCTTGAAAATTAAAATAGGAAAATAATACAAAATGTATTAATTTTGTATCAGTCAATTATTTCTGTATTATTTGGAGCACCTTGAAAAAAAAAATAGGAAAATAATACAAAATGTATTAATTTTGTATCAGTCTATTATTTCTGTATTAAAATTGCATTTAAAACAAAAAAATCTAAAAATAATACATTCTGAAAAATACAAAAAAAATACATTTAGGAGTTCAAAAAAGGTACAAGAATGATAGACAAAAAGTACATAAAAAAGCTTTAAATAATACAAAGCAGTGCCTAGAAAAGTACTAAAAACGTGAAAAACTTTTTCTTAAATGCAGCTTTCAATCAGATTTTAAAGAGAAATGTCTTTAGATTACTGATTTAGTTACTTTTTGTGCAATTATCTTGATCTTTTCTGTCTTACATACAGTATTCACTCTTCAATTGTCCTCATTTCTAAGTCATGTTTTATCAATCTTATTGTCTTTGTAAATTGTGCATTTATAATGAGATATGAATTCAAAAGTCTAGATCTTCTCTCTGCTTTGGGGTTTCTTTTGCACAGCACTTTACTTTGTTGAAGAAGTACATCTCCAGTTTTCTCACTGTCATCCTGCTTGGTCCTGCATAATCTACAAAATAGAATATCAAAATGTACCGAGGTGTATCAAAATTAGATGCACAGACACACACAAAAAGAAATCTTCACATGATTAGCTGATATTGTCAATGTTACACACTTGTAATGCCTCAAGGGGTAGGGTGGGAGGGTGGGTGGGTGTCCTATTCCTCTATAACTAATCAGCTTTTCTTCTATGGCTCTGCAGAGGCACTCAAACTGTAAAAGTAACGATGCTGATAAATGTTTTGCAGAACAGGTAGAAATACAGAGCATTAAAAAATGAAAATATAAAACTGCCAATACACCTGATTGGAATTTTTCATGGCAAAATATTCTACAAATTGAGCCATTATCCCCCCCCCCCTTTTTATTGGGGGGGGGGGTCATTTGATTTGAAATCTTAAAGTGATATTGGGCAAGGGAAATACAGATCATCATATATTGATATAAAAAATAATTAGTTTGTGCCAAAAAAAATCTTTCTTATCACCTTCTTCTCAAGTCATTTTTGAAACAAATTATAAGTATGCTAAACCATAAATCCATGAAGTTTAGTTGCAATGATTACCCCCCCCCCCTTCACATTTCAAAATTTGAATGGTTGTATGCCAAGATGATTTTATCTGTTATTGTTCCATGTTTAGGCCTGAGGGATAGGGTGAAATTAATTTTTAAGTCATTTTTGGTCCATGTAAATAATATCATTTACCATTGAAAGCCCGTAATTATCCATACAATTCAAGATAGAAAGTAGCATTACAAAACTCTCTTTCGCCACAAATCCAATATATCTGCATTTAATTTGACCTACTATAAATTGTTTATAAAAGATAACATTTATTAATCTACATTTCACATTTTAAAAATTGAAACTACTGTGCTATTTTATGTAAATTCTTACCGCATATGGCGTTGTTTACACCAGGAAAGCCAGGGCATGATGCTTGAAAAACGCCAACCTCCTTCCGTTTTCGCTTTTCTTTGTTTATAAATGTGATCCATGCTAACATGCTGTAGCTAAACATCTATTTTCTACCAATTTCATCAGCGAATATTGGCTAAATTTTATTAAACATCACCAACTCTCTCAATTCGGTTCGTCGATCTATTTTTCAAAATGGCGTGGGTAAATTACCGTTAACCAATCAGAGAAAAGCAAAGAAAAATTTTAAAATCTGGGACCAATCAAATAGCTCCTTATTTACGAAGATTGCCGATTTTTAAATATAAAATATTTTTAACAGTCTAAGGAAATTTACTTATGTACGAAGTCTAATAAGTAATATGGAATCAATATAATAAACCCTTGATAATTACTAGAATAATTATTAGGAATCATTTCTTATAATCGTTATTTTTGTTTTTAAGAAATGTTCCGATTACAGATGAGAAAGATTTCTGGTCAGCCATATTGTTTTGTTTTTGTTTTTTTAATCACTAGTATACAAGTTGACCCGTATAATAGACCATAAAGTTCAAGAAGAAGGGTCAATTTAGTGTTAAATCTAAAGCAAAATAGCAAGGCACAGAGCCATGTCCCCTTTTCTCGGCGCCATGTCCTATTTTCCTAACAAAAAATTAATAAATATTCCCAGTGTAGGCAATATTCCTTAGCTGTTCTGTTTATTCAGTGCATACTGATAATCTCTTGTTTACATAACGCAACCAAGTGTGAATTCACGACAGGAAATCACTTCACGCTTGAACACAAGCACACAGCCACCTGGCTAATTAACATGCCTCAGGCTGTCAGGGTAGAAGATTTAACTTGAGAAACTGTCATTTGATTGCATTGATTATGCAAGAATTAGCCCAAGATCAAAGATAATTAACTTGTTAATTATTAACTAATTAAAATCAGGATCGTTTTTTTTTTAAACTGAGAGTAGAATTAAACACAGAGTTGAAGAAAAACTGATATTTTATCTGAATAAAAACAACTTACATTACAACTACTAGAATAATTAAATTGACTGTACTACTACACAAATAACACAGTCCAAGCAGGTTAAAAAAATTAATACTTCCAAACTTTAATAACTTTCTCTAGCGTAAATATCTATCTTAAACACACTGATAATTTAAATTAGGAAACCTACTACTTGCACATCCCTTTCTAGACTTGAACATTGTCAGCTCATTTCTTGAAAGTTATTTACGATAATTTGAATATGATTCCTTCTCTGAGTGAAAAAAATGCACATATATATACTAAAATCTGAAGAAAACATCGTATGCATGGTAATAGCTAGTTGGGACTTTCCATGTGCACAGGTAAATCACGTAATTTCTGAATTGTAGTATGATGCAATCATTTGTTAGCCTGCAAGACCACCTGTTGTGTGATAGATGTAAACACGTGAAAGATGTAAACCCGCTGAAAAGTCAATGTAAACCCGCTGTAAAATCTTCATGCCCAAGACGGAAATATTTCTCTGGATTACCACTGATTGAGATTAACATAAATTTTAGTACCAATTAATTATTTAAGTTCTATATAATTGGATACCAAGATTCCTGAAAAAAATATATAATAAAAATTTTCTAAGTACCGGGTATGCTATAAACTTATAAAAAAAGCAGCAGACATTTTGCAAGGAATTTCTCTAAAATTTATAAAGTTCATAGAGACAAATGTAAATAGAAAATATGTCTAAATTTACCCCCCCCCCCCCCCCCCCCCCCAACAACAAAAAGAAATAGAGACCAAATATATGGAATTTTCTGTAAATGTACTAAAATCAAATTTGATACAAAAAATACTGACTGTCTTTCTGTAAAATTACCAAGTCCAAATTTAATATAAAAATAATACAGTCTAACTGTAAGGTCTTTTCTATAAATTTACAAAGTCCAAATTTAATATAAAAATAATACAGACAAACTCTGTAAAATTACTAAGTCTAAATTTGATATAAAAATAATACAGACAAACTGTCTGTAAAATTATTAAGTCCAAATTTAATACAGAAATGATACAGTCTAACTGTATAGACTTTTCTGTAAAATTACTAAGTTCAAATTTGATACAGAAAAAATACATCTGGAAAAAAATAAGTCCTGAAAAAATACAAAAATAATACACTGAAAATAATCTAAGTCCAAAAAAATACAAAAATAATACACTGAAAATAATCTAAGTCCAAACAAATACAAAAATAATATACTGTACAAAATCAATGTCAAATTTTAATACAAAAATGATATACTGAATTTTTTGTGATAGGAAAATAATATATTTTTTCTGTATTATTTTAAGAAAGTACAAAAATGAATGTATTAAAAATATATTAAAAATATACTTTTCTGTATTATTTTTTGATATATTGATATTATGGGCCTTCGACCCTCTGGCTGATATTGGTGTCTCGGGCTGATACAAGATGTGATATGGAAAAGGGTATGTATTATTCTCTATTTAAAACTACAGGGATTGAAAATTGCTGTTAGTGTGAATTCATTATAAGCATGTTCACTATAACTGTGCTTTACTGCATGTGTTTACATATTGAAATTATGTAGATTTTGAGAGGTACAAGGAAGGTATACTTGTGGACAACTTTGGTTCAAAATAATGTAGTAGAAGATTTCTGTCAATTGATCTGTTAATCTTTATTTTCATTAATCTTTTTTATGTTCTTTTTCAGCTTTAATTAAGATTTTAAAACAAGATTCCAAGCAAGTAGTATACAATGGACTTCAAGCCAGTATGTTCGCATGATGAAAGTGCAATGTAGGATGCCATTATTGTATTGTTAAAAAACAAGTCATATTTTTGTTATATTCAACGAAAATGGGATGTCCATGTTTTTGAATGCTGTGTAGTGACCACACTATGTTTTTCTGTCTACAAATTTAAAGATAATTATTTTGTTATCGTAAATTCCTGTTGCATGTCCTTATTTTTCTATAAGTATTCCTAATTTAAAAGGTGCAAATTATGAAGTGTTATTTCTATGGTTGAAACCATTTTGAACCATAATACAGTATATTTAAAATGATGAAGTTGGTAAAATTGATTGTTACAGAATTTTTGTTTTTATTTACAATCTAGTTTTTATTCAGACAACAAACTCATTATAATTTTATACGTCGTATTGAAGCAGGTTCTTTGTTAAAATATTCATAAATGAGACAAAGAAATTCCAGATGACTCAGTTCTTTCCTAATATTATGATTTTTCTTTTCTTGTTCTATGTTCTTGAACTACGTATATGAGAAATTTTTTTCAAAAGCAAGTTTGTCACAAGAGATTAATTTTTTCTTAACTTAACAATCAAAACTATGATTTAATAATTTTATACTATGTTTTTTTTTCTGTATCACAAAAAAGATCAAATTTGACCTGTCTTCTCCTTAATTTCTGAGTATTATAGAATATTTTCTTGTGTGTGTGAATGCAGTGATGTGAAGTTAGTCTTGGGAATGAATGTGTTACTGGTTAAACATTTACGGTATTTTTTAATAGTTCACGAAACTTACTCAGGGGGCACAACACTCATTGATCTGATTTTTGAACATTTCTTAGGAAAGTAAATTTAAACCAATACCCAACTACTGTGGCTGCAGTACTGGATATGGGTTATATCAATGTGAATTTTGACAATATTAACAATTATTTGAAATATGAAAATGTCTGTTATACATGTAGAAGGGAAGTGGTAATTTACTTATTAATGCTTGCTTCATTGAATAAATGGAATAAGACGGCACAAAAATTGTTTGCCATCTATTTTGCTGCATGCTCCATTGCAATTTCCCTTGTATACAGTGTACATGTACAGTTTCAAGTTAAATTTATAGAATAAGATGTTGACAGATTGTTCACTTTCCAGAAAGGGTAAGCTACATACCTTTTTAATACTTTTATTACAAACTTCTTACTTCCATAATAAAAATAGTTACTGTTGTTTCCATCATTCAGTACACCAGAAAAATCCATTTATTTAATGCGTGCATGCATTTGCAAAGAAAACTAAATTTTAATTTATATAACAATTTTCGGTAAGCTACATACCTTTTTAATACTTTTATTACAAACTTCTTACTTCCATAATATGAATAGTTACTGTTGTTTCCATCATTCAGTACACCAGAAAAATCCATTTATTTAATGTGTGCATGCATTTGGAAAGAAAACTAAATTTTAACTTATATAACAATTTTGTAAACTATACATGTATATGGCGTATTAGAATTTTCTTTGTAAAGTTAATTCTACCAATCATTTCAACTTCATGACATCATAACTTCATGAGTGTGTATGTACTTACTTAATACAAAGTTACGTATAATGTAAGTAGTGGTGTGATTGTGTGAGCTACAACAGTTGTTTCCCTTTGTTGAACTGTCGTATGCAGGAAGACTCCTTTTATTGGTGGATACATTCTGAGAATAAGAAATCTCTGTGTTGTATTTATAAGGCTTATACAATAAAATGAGGATCTCTTAATATTTTGTTTAAAATTTTTTTAATGTTGACAAAGTCAGATTTATTAACAATTAACATTGTAATGGAAAATCTGATTCAAAAATCTGAATTTTATCCAAAAGAAATAATAGTTTGAGTTACAAAACATAGCTACAAATTTGGATAAAAACAGTATAAAAAGGAATATTTAACATGTAGTTGTAAGCTCAACTGAGCCAAAGTTTTCTCCAGAATCTCTCGACCAATTTCATCCAAACTTGGCACAGAGTATTCTTGGGTAAAGGAGATTTGCTCAAATGAAAAGCTACACCTCTTCCAAGGGGAGATGATTAAGAAATGGTGAAAAATGGTTGGGATGATTTTATTTCATTTTTACCTATACTGGGTTATTGAAAAATTTATTTTCACACAAAAAATATTATTTACCAAGACAAAAATATAAAACCACAATGACTCCTTGTTAAGCAGTTTTCAAAAATAGAATCAAATAATTTTTTTCTATCATGACTACTCTTTTTCTTTGGCAAATTTTTGTTACTTATCCTAATGCCATTAAAATATCATTATATATTACGATTTCTTGAAATTTAAAATTAATGACCACTAATTGCTCATAAGTGTATATGTTATTCTTCTAAGGAATAGATACCGGTAATTATGCCAGACATTTTCATATTTTTCATGACATAACTAGTAAGATACCAAGTTCAAAGTGACCCAAAAATTTCTCCATACTTTATTAATGGCTTGTTTTTTTCAAAGGCCTTATATGACTCCATAAGCAGAACCATATGTCAGCTTTTCTTCATCCAAGTTTTATAATCATTAATTCATAAAAACCATTAGGAACATTTTTAGCAACCTCACAGCACCTGATTTACTATGCAAGTTAACTTGCTAGAGGATAGAATTCCTAAAGAGAAATGGAAACTTTGCTGTTTAAATTTTAATTTTTGTGTCAATATTAAAGCAAATTAAACAGGACTTTTATGTTTTAAATGACATTCCTCAATCATTTGGATCTACTAGCTTGGCTTTTTTCAAAAATCAACTTATGTTGATGAAGCTTTGCTTTGATTCTAAATAAAATAATAATTATAAGGTTCATTTTTAAGAAACTATAAGTGGGGCATTCAAAGATATTTTGAAACTTACAACTAGTACTGATACATGTATAAGTTTATTTTTGAGTATGCATGTAAGTGTACCATACATCCTTGTGAACAATTAGTCATGATTAATATTAAAAAAGGAAAAGTCGATCACCATAAAAATCCTGATAGCAAGATAAAAACATAGGTTAACATAGAATAATTCATTAAAACGCAAAGTAAATCCTATCTCTGTTGTAATAATTTGTGCACCAGAGGGACTCAATTTACTGACTGTGCAATTACCGACAATATAAAAATTTAAGTGCATTCATTAAATTGCCATTATTTTGAAAAGTAAATGGTCTTTAATTATTACAGGTCACAATTTAGTCTTCAAAGAACAAGAAGTATTTTTGAGCAACTAGTAAAACATTAATTATTTACATTTCTTTTATTGAATTTAGTACACAGTCCTGCATGACAAAAAAGTCATTTTAGATGAAGTTACATAATGACATGCTCATTGCTCACAGTAACTCTAGTGTGCTGTACACTCATATATTTTCATTCATGTTATATTGCTTTATCTCACTGGCAAAAGATTTCATTCTATTTTAAATCAAATCTGAACCAGGCACTTTTTTGCTAAAAGAGAGTTTGTGATTCCTTGGGTGAGTCAATGGCCCATTTTAAGTTTGCCCATTAGCATTAACATATTAGTAACCCTTACCAAAGTAAAATGTTTGCAGCAATATTGCTGCTATACATATTAGTACATGTATATAACTTTTAAACACCATGATCAATGAGCAGTCAAATATTGAACTGCTCTTGTACAAGTAAAGTTATGTACACACCCTCCTCCATTCCACTGCCTCCATTACAACAGTCCAACTTGAACATTTCAACACCATCAGCCAGCAAAGGTTTGTGCACCTGTCTGTATGTAGAATGCCTAGCCTTGGTAGCCTTTACAAGTCTCTGTACCCATGTCACCATGAAGGCAAAGCTTCATTCTTTGCTGACACTCTTTTTTAAATTTAGTAGAAAAAAAACTGCAAATCCATTGTGAACTCAGTGTTGTAAATATACTTTACTTTTTTTTTATCAGTTATCAGTGCATTAAGAACTGTTTTACTGGATAAATTATTTCCATATATTTTAATTTACTAATTATTAAAGAAATTTGCAGGTTAAAATCCCCCCTTTTGTTTGAAACTGCAAACAGTTTGGAATTAATAGTTTGGTTCATGTATGCATGGATGTTGGCTTGAGTAGCTCAGTATATATTAAAGCATCTGACTTGTGATTCATGGACTTAAAGGGTTCAATCCCTAGTCCAGAAATATATTTTCTTAGCATGTACAGGTGTATATCAATTACTAAAATGTAATGCCCTACAGAACTGTCAACATTTATGTCCCAAGCTGAGTTTCAATAACACAGCTAAAAATTTGTTTTCATAGAATCAGTTTAAATATCGACTGAAAACAACTGACTCATCAAATCATAACCCTCCTCCAGACGGAATCATGAAATGAGAATTAGGTAAAACAAACAAATACTTAATTTACAAGTCCCGAATCATTTAATTAAAGTGCCCACATAATTTGTTTTATAACATTATAATTTTAACACTTATTAGTTAATAAACTTTAAAGCAGACAGCTACTTGCTGAACTTTAAGGAACTACATATGTACTAGTGTGATAAAAACTTTTATGATTCTATAATGTGTAATTCTAGATCAGACACAATTCTACACCTACATTAAAATTACATACATGTCATTCCATGGGCCAATGAGTCCTTGGTTTTTGAAATAAAGCTTTGTCTCAAAGAGTATAACCTTTATCAAAATTAATATTTAGATCTTTACTACACCCCCACCACCACCACTACCATGCCACCCTCTAGCTCCCTCAAAACTATCAAACACAGATGACAGTTCAATCGAATTAAAATTAGATTTTTGATCCGCTACTGTTAGATTGCTACACTTTTCACGAGCGGATCAAAGATCTAATTTTAATTACATTGATGACAACTGAACAGGTGATACTTGATTAAACGTTACCATATATAAATTTTTTTTCATGCTACCTGCATGAAGAGACTACCAAGTTTTTAAGGTATAGAACTCAACCTAAATAATCTGCCAAAGCCTTGATTCCACTGGAAAACCGTTTCCTGTCCGGAACCAGTCTTCCTGTGAGAGGATCTCGTCCTTTTTCTGCCAAACAGTCGTCTATAGCAGTATAATTATATCCTGCATCTCTAAGACCTTGTTCTACCATTCTGTCACAGTCACACATATGCATTATCAGCTTCTCAGGAGCAGAAGAGGAGCGAATCATCACTATTGGCTAGCGAAGAAATTGCAGCTATAAAATTTTTCCAACAAGCAAATTCAAAGAATTGTGGTCCCACGCTTTCGGTGTCTTTGTGGGTAGATTTCATTATTTCTGGAACATTGTGTCAAATATGAACACCTTATCATATGCCATTCAAAAGTTATCACCAAAGTTGATTTGAAAATTAGGTCAAACATGAAGTCAAGGCCAAGGGGTTAGAAATCATAGCATAATCGGAAATATATTGTCTTGTCACAGGTAATGCACATGTCAAATATGAAAGCCCCATCTCTTCTCAATCAAAGGTTATCAAGGGAAAAAATTGAAAAGTAGGTCAAACTTCAAGGTCAAGGGGTCAAAAATCATAGTATATTTAGAAAGATCTTGTCACAGGTTATATACTGTGAAAGGCCTATCTCTTATTTAAAAAAAAGTTATGACCAAGGTTAATTTTTTTTTGGAAAGTGGGTCAAACCACAAGGTCAAAAATCACAGTGTTTTAAGAAAGGTCTTGTCACAGGTATTATACATTTTAAATAAGAAAGCCCTATCTCTTCTCTTTCGAAAGTAATGACCAATTTAAAGTAATGTTTAATTTTTTGAAAAGTAGGTAAAACTCTAAGGTGAAGGTCACGGGATAAACACTCACTGTATTTTGAAAGGTCTTGTGTAATATTAAAGTCCTGTCTCTTTTTATTCAAAATATATGACCAACGATTTAGTTTTTGTGACAGACGGAAAGACTGACAGACGAATGATATTTAATATTCCTCGCTTTCGCGAAATTGGGGGGCACAAACTGTAAGATATCCCAAGTTTGATCCTTTTTTTGTTATTCGTAAAAAAAACCTCCACATCCAGCTGAGCACTTGATATTGAAAAGTTTAAATATATAAACTTTAAGTCTAATTTAAAGTTCAAACATTATTTATTTAAATGTTAAAGGAATCACTGCCTAGTTTGTTGGGTATGTCGGGCATCAACGATAGTTGGAAACATGGGATAACAAGCGAGTGAGCTCGTCTAAGCTTTATGGCCAAGGAGCATGGTGATCCTGAAGCTCAAAACCTGTGTTGCCATTGCAATCCTTTATTCCTAAGGAGAACAAAAACACTAGTTTCTGGCAAAGTCAGGCAAACAGCAAACAAAAACAGCCATTTGAAATACAATGGTGTAATAATATACGACTGAAACTGTTACCAAGATAGCTTTAGAAAAAAGATAAATTAGGTCTTTTTCCATCTTTCGTTACGGCCCCAATACCAATTCACAAAGCTGTAAGTTGCTTGGCTACAAAACCGGAATTTCAAAATTCGAACTACATTACACTTTTCCTTGGTGCCTTATTGGGGTTAGTGTATGAACTTGCTGCATAATCGTTCCATGTGCACATTGCACTACGTGTCATAGACTCTGATAAGATAAAGATTATTTAAGTTTTTAAGACAATCACTCAGAAGTTGCAGTAAAATGGATTTCCAGCGTTTTTTCTTAACCTTTATACCCATTATTCTTATTTTAAAATGTGAGTATATTTGACTTACGTCAACCAAACGGGAAAAAAAAATCCACGAGCTTTGCTACAGTTTCAACTTTCTACAGTGTTGAAATATTATTAATGTGTATATTCGCCTTTTTTCGCTACTGTTTCAAAATTTAGACTAAGACGAATTTCTTTAACACAGGTTGTGATGCAGGCACAGTAACAACAGAGTCGTTCCTCAAGGCACGGATGGGATGGCATCCTATTAACTTTAAGTGTACCTACACGTTAGAATCAGATGAAAGTGTTAGTGATGGGGACATTTCCTGGCAGATAGAAAGAGTAAAAGGAAGTGGGAACTTCGAAACAATTGCGACGTATTCTCCCACTAAACCAAACCAGTTCGCCAAGACGCCGATTGGTTCGGCGTTCAAAACTCGATCTATACTGCCTGATGTTGTTGCCGAAGGCTCGGACACGTTTTCTGCCGTATTCAGAGTGTACGAAGTGCGGTGTGAAGACGAAGGGAATTTCAGGTGTTTGGTTGTGTTTTCCAATGGTACAGACACATATAATGAAACTTCGGAGTCGTCCTTGCTTGTGACGGGTAAAGAAACACTTCTTGGATTTCTAAGATACATCAGTTTTTCTACCTGTATAATATTATTTAATCAAAAGTTTAATTTTGTATTTAACACAATTTTAGCTCCTGCTGAAAAGCCATACAGCCCCCCGGAGCCCAATCCAGATAACATCGAAGAGGGCATGAAAGTGCAGTTTTCTTGTACTGCCAATGTCGGGAAACCCCCAGGAAATATTAAATGGTGGCGCTTCCGAAAAGGCCAATCTGTGCCTGAATTCATGGGGGAATCGAACACTACCCCCTTGATGCAGACAGATACTTGTGCATATAACTTGACTAGCTCTATTTCTGCGCTAACCATGTCTAGGAATGACGACCAATCGGTTTGGAGATGCTCTGTTAACAACAATCTGCTCACAGCTTATCCTGACTACGAGAAACCACACGAAGACTCGAAGAAAATACGAGTTTATTGTAAGGAATGTTAAAGAATACTCTTTGTACAGTTGAGATAAGAAGAGTAAATTCGGTTAAGATTTCGCTCGGCTATTTACTTGGACTGATGCATATTGGCCTATAGGGCCAAATATCTAGCCGAACCAAATCTAAGAATTCATTTTATCTGATACTCACGAGGTATTAAGAGATCAAAGTTTGTTTCTTTTTGTAGTTTCCAATTTTTTATTTTTTTTTTTGGTATTTACGAATTGTTTATCCATGTAGAGATTATCAGAAAATTATAAAAGCTTTTCACAATGCTAGTACTCATCGCATATATACATTTCACTTTTTGACCAGATGCCGTTAGCACTCCTTCTATCGAAATAACACCAAATTATTCCAAGTACCAAGAGGGGAGTAACATTACAATATACTGTTCCGCCGATGGCAACCCAAGTCCTCTGATTGACAACCACATCAACTACTATATCTGGACATTCAAGCCCCGGGGTAAATCTGATGACGTTATACTGACCTCTAATAACGGGCTACTGGCTCTCCAAAACATACAAGAGAAGGACTCAGGGAGGTACACCTGTACTGCACATAATAGCTTCAACGGAAAGAATTTCAGCAGCTCCAATCATGTGGAGATCAATATTCATGCAGGTAATAATTAAAAATAGTTAAATTATATGTATCAAGCGTAAGTCAACTTATACTTGTTAATTAAAAGTGAAAAGTAAAAAAAAAGAAATATAAAAAAATAAAAATACTAGTAATTAAATATAGTACTTGTATATTAATTTTGAAAAATGTATAATTGGATTCATGTACTTTAAACTTGCTGAACTATTTTTTTTTCTTTTGTACTTTCTTAATTTATATTCATGATACAAATATATTACTTGAATATTAATTTGAAAAAATTGTATACTGTATAGGGGGAAAATAACTCGCGGTGTTAATATTCGCTATATTCACGATGTTGATGAATCCGTGAATTCAAGAAACAGTGAATAAGTTTTCAATATGTATAGATAAGGGAGGAAACTTTTCTTACATACCAATTTCGCGAATTCAAGAAACCGCGACAGTGTCAGAGAAGAGAAAAACGTGAAAATTACAACCCGTGAAATTAATCCCCTATACAGTATTAGATAAATGTACTTTAAATTTACCGAACCTTTTTTATTTACATTGTACTTTCTTAATTTATGTTCATATGCTTTAACCTTACCCAAACCTCTTTGCAACCGAACACAAGTCCTGTTCCTTCTAAGCTTTGTATGTACATTTCTTATATTTTAATTCTTTGATTTGATGATGTATACATTAACAATAATACGTATTATTTTATTTGATAAACAAAAATCTGTATCAGCTAAAGATTTTAATGATAACAGAAAGATATAGCTTTTTTTTTCATTTGAAAATTTAACTTTATGCTTAATTATAACACTCAGCAGGTAACCAAACGTACCACTATCGTAAGTATAGAAATTACCCATGTGACATTCATAATAATTTCAGTTGTGAGTGATTAAATCGTTACAATTCTTATAATATCTTTTAAAGAATCTCACATACAATGTTGAATGTAAAAAACAAAAAAAAAACAAAAACAAAAACAAAAACAAAACACAATAAAACAACTTAAGATTCTTATTATTTTCATTTTATTTTGCAGATCGAGTTTATTTTCCGATAATAACCATGATAACATTAGCAAGTTCCTGATTAGTTTGAGAATTCCATTGGTTTATGTGTCTTCATTATGGTGCATTGTTTTGCACTGGAAAGTCCAAGGCCATACAGTAAGTCATGACACCACATCAAAAAATATATATTAGGAACTTCCAGGAATATAACTACCTTAAATTTCCAAAATATTATGACCTCACCAAATTTTCATTAGTGAATGGGATTTTTTCATGTTCTGCAAACATTTTGCAGAGAGAAGATACTGGAATATCATATACGAAAGAGTTGCCTTCAATTATTTCAATGAAAAATGTGAATAGTCTGGTCCGATTTATAGAAAAAACTTACTTCTAGAGGCAAATAATTATTATTTGGTCCAGCATAGTTTTTAAAACCTAATTCTGGTATGCTGAAACCGAATAAATATGCTGGCTTTCATGAAAATGGCGTTAAGAAGGTCAAAATAGCGATTCAAAATGGCGGACGTCCAATTTTCCTAATTTTTTCTAAATGTTGCTCAAACAGGAAAATGAATGTGTAAAAATCTCACTTCGTGTAATGCTACTATAAAAATGATAAAAGAGTGCTAACATTATTACGTTAGCTCAGAAAATTAAGTAGTTTCTACACTTAATTAGAATTTTCTCTGATTTTTCCGTCTATTGTTTCTATATTCTGTTTTATTAAGAATTTTACATTTGCAAATATCCATACACTGCAGATTCGTGTGTTTCCTCCGCATCTCACTTTTCTACAACTGAAGGTGCAGCTGTGAGTTATAAGTCAAAATTAAAGGCAATTCAAAATGGTGGATATCCATTTTTTTCTTATTATTTTTTAATGTCATTCAAATAGGAAAGAAAGGTGTTTAGTCTTACTAAGCTTATTGCAACTATGAAAATGATAATGGAGCACTAACATCACTTTAATTTGGAAAATTTAGTCTTTTAAGTTTGAAAGTTGTAGTAATTAGCTCAAATTGGCGATTCAAAATGGCGAAAGCTCAAATTTCATAAAGTACTCAAAATGCTTAATTCTGAGTCGTTTTGCATAAAATAAACAATGTTACAATACTAGTACATCTCACTATTCTACAACTGAATGATGGTGCAGCCGTAAGATATAATTTAAATTTCGGTAAAATCTCTACAATGGCTCATTCATACTTTGGCAGCAATCAACGAAAAAAATCCATCCCAAATCAATAAAGTTAGTAGTGTGAGGCTACCACTTTATCTGCCTATCTTTATATCACGTACTGCCTGGCAATATGCTCGCTTTACATGCATATAAATTCATAATAATTTCAATTGTGAGTGATTAAATCTTTACAATTCTTATGATATCTTCTTAAGAATCTCACGTACAATGTTGAATGTAAAAAAAAAAAACAAAACAAAAAAATACAAAAAAAAAAAAAAAAAAAGAAAGAAAAAACAACTTAAGATTCATATTATTTTCATTATATTTTGCAGATCGAGTTTATATTCCGATAATAACATTAGCAAGTCTCTAATTAGTTTGAGAATTCCATTGGTTTATGTGTCTTCATTAGGGTGCTTTGTTTTGCACGGGAAAGTCCAAGGCCATACAGTAAGTCATGACACCAAATCAAAATATATATTAGGAACTTTCAGGAATATAACTACCTTAAATTTCCAAAATATCATGACCTCACCAATTTTATTAGTGAATGGGATTTCTTTATGTTCTGCAAACATTTTGCAGAAAGAAGATTTTGGAATATCCTATACGAAAGAGTTGCCTTCAATGATTTCAATGAAAAAATTACTGCATCCAAAAAGTGGGTAGATGTTTCATTAATTTTCAATGAACTGGTGGGTAACAGTTGTTGAAATAGATATACAAGTAAAGTTATAAAACAAATACTACATGAAGAAATTTGGTATTTAAAGACAAAAACCTTTTTTGCCATACACAATACTGTATACAGGGAAATTTACGCTCCCGCTTTATTTTCGCCTCTTTCGAACTTACCTCGAATGGGCGAATTCAAAGAATGTAGTACTTAAATTGAAAGAGCTAAAATAAAGCGGGGCGAAAATAACTCTGTATACACAATCTGATTAAAATCAGATCCTTTGATCCGCTCATGAGATCTCTACACAAAAAGTACATATCCGAATACTTTTTTATAGCTTTTATGCCCATCTACAACGTTCTTGTAATAAATGTGGAGATCACATCTACTGTTTACAATGTCTAAGCGGATATATAAGTTACGTTTAGTTGGCATCTCTCACCCAAAAGATCAAATTTTAAACTTGAAAAATATGAAATCTCTACATGAAAAAAATCATAAGGTGGTCACTTTCATAACGGGATAATTTCATTCCTTGGATTCTTCCAGTTCTTTCTTAGCAAACCCGGTTTGTTTTAATTGTATTCTCATTCCATGTCCTGTAAATGGTTTTGTTTGTTCTTTAAAACCTATTTTGAGATATTTTCGCTGATAAGGAAATGCCAACATTTGTCGGTGGGAACCTTGCATATTTTGACCTATGTTCGGCATTCAGGGCCATTGAGCAGTGAGGGATCTTTTTCGTCCTAGCACCATCTAGCGACACGGGACCTCGGTTTATACGGTCTCATCCAAAGGATCGGTCTCCACATCCCACTGTGGGATTCGAACCCGCAACGTATATAAGGACCAACTACTCACTCCAACACTCTATAAAGCAAACGCTCTCACCACTGCGCGTTGGGCGACATCTGTAAATGGTAGTAATGACACATCGTGTCAGACACCACTTAATGCAATAGGGTACGACTACCCAGCAACTGAAAAATACAATTATGCATTCAAACTTTTTTCCCAAATATTATAATTAGAAAGTTCAAATAAGATTTTGAAAAGTGAAATTTTCTTTTGTAGCATTATAATTTCTTCCACATTATGCGGAAAAAAACTGGATAGGAATTTTAAATGAGCTGGGAAGAGATGAGGCCGCGCCAGGCAAAAGACAGTGAAGTTCATAGTTAGAAAAAACAAGACCAAGAGTCAAATTCGGAAGGAGTCGATGCTTGTAGTTTGCGTAAATATATTGTGATTGGACCAACGCTTTGCGTGGTAGCCAAATTAACGTATTTGTACAATTTCTGGATATTATTTAAATTATATTATTAATGTTACAGTTGATACACCTCTGCACAGTTCTGTTGCGTAGGTAGATAAGGAAATAGAATCCATCTCACTTCAAAACATGCGTAACTTCAATTGTTCTTAGCAATGAAAGTGTCAAGTGAAACAGCAGCTAGGGATGTCTCTTTTATCGAAGTCAATTTTGGCCTATAAAAAAACCAAGAGATTTACAGAAAAACTCATTTAAAACCAGCGTACATGCATTAGCCATATTTGCCATGAGTTGTTTTCTTCATTTTTATAGAGCGCAATAGATATAAATGTAGGTGGGGAGATGAAAATAAAATTGAATTTAAGGCAAGACATCGATGCTTCAGTCAAAGCATATTTTTACTGACAATAAAAATTAAAGAATAAAAATGTTTACCGAGAACTTTTCTTTCAAGAACACAAAGCCTGACCGTGGCAGCCAATGTATAAGCTCTAAGTAATGGCAGTGTCTTATGCAGCTCTGGCTTTTCAGCCTGCTCGGTCCCATTGAAATCATGTAACGAGGTTTGACTGTATATTCTTTTAATTCTGTGATTTTTAGCTCTACTGGTGAGAGACCAGAAGAGCTTATGCGATAATACTTGGTGTCCGTCGCCCGTCTGTCTGTAAGCAATTTTTCAAATTGCTCCTCCTCCAGTTTTTCTCTGATTTCATTGTAACGTGGCACACAAGAATACTTCAGATACATAATTCTTAAATTCCTTTAAAATAGTACTCCTACAGTTTTGGTCTGATTTCAATATATAGCACAAACTTCAACAACATTAAATAAGATAATTTAATTAATGCATCGGCTTTTTACTTTTGATGAATGGTGTTGTCATGGTTACTTAAAATAGAAATTCCTGTGAAATTCCTTTAAAATGCTTCTCCTCCTACAGTTTTTATCTAATTTCAATATGAATAACATGGGACACAAATACACTGCACAAATACATGTATACATAATTGTGTTTATCGGTTTTTGATTTGATAAGCGATGTTTCAAGGGTATCTCAAATAAGATATTTTCTTGAAAATTTTTTAACGCTTTTCTTTTAAAATGCTACTGCTCCTACAGGTTTAGTTTGATTTCAATATAATTTGACAAACTAGAAGATTACACTGAGATGCGTTATTTCTATTATTGGTTGTTGATTTCGATGAATCTTGTTGGCATCTTAACTAATAAAAAAAAATCTTTAAAAAGCCTCCAAAACACTACACCTCCTACAGTTACATGTATGGTCTCTTTTCAGTATAACTCGGCACTCAAGTAAATTACGCGGAGATACTATATGCTTTTTTGTTGATGAATGATGTGCCCATGGTTACAAAAAAATGTAATTTCTGTAAAATTCTTTTAAAAGGCTTCTTCTCATATAGTTTTAATCTGAATGCAATAAAACAAGTTCTAGTCTGACTGCAATTGACTAAACCAAGGACTGTTGTGGCAAAGGTTCAAGTCCTAATGCTACTTTGCTATGAATTCATATCAGTAGAGCTACTAGCTTCAGAAATGTAGCTCTCCGAAAAAAATATATATTGACAAACCAGAAAGCTACAGTGCAACCCATTAAAAAAGTGCATATTCATTGCGCACAAAAAATTCGCTGTTTCTCGATTTATTTCTCCATGTTTTTCAAACCCTCTCAAAATATAACTAACCGTGTGTTCTTAACATACTAGAATTCCACCACAATATATTCTTTATTATAAATAGCTATAAATAGCCTATCTAGACCTGAAATGGAAGCTCTCGAAACTTTTGCTTATGAACACTGCCATTTTGGATGGGAAATAATTAGTCTTTTCTATGGTTGGCATTGTAGCTCTCTGGTCGCCCATCCCCATTTTTTTTAGACCAGCGAGCTACAGATCTGCAGCTATAGAGCTACAGTCTTGTCAGAGACTTTTGGTTATCTTATCTACAGGGCAATTAAATAATTCATCCAGAGGAAATGAAAGTAATTGTCAGTTCATGCTTTTAAAATGCTTTTACACGATTTAACTACGTGTATTATACCCTTGACATTCAATTAATCTTCAAACAAACAAGCATAAATGCATAATTGTTTTAGTGAATTTTCTTCTTTTTAATTTTGTTTTTCGCAATGTATATTTATTTTTCTTTTTTAGTGGTCCTCCTCAGCGTGTCCAATCTCGGTTTTCCTCTCGTGGTGCTAATTTCTTTAATGAATTTCTTAAGAAGAAACCTTTTGAAGTATTATGTAGGCACGTCTTCATCTTGTTAATTTGTACGAGGGACGTTCAATAAATAATGTCATTAGCTAGATGACATACAACATAGAAATCATATGACATTAAGCTTGACTTTCTCTCATTTTTGAATCTTTAATGAATTGGTAACAGTTTATATGACCACTTTTCATCGCATTATTTCATTGTGGGAAGCCGGAAAACAAGGGCTATTCGAGACACTGCATTAAAAATAAATGGTCAAGAATCGGTAAACTAGAGTAAAATTAAACGCTTCATTTAAGCAGCTGTAAAACTTGTTAATATCCCAAAAATATATTAACTGAAATATGTGAAATTTACAGCAACCAATGTCTGTTTTATAGACACGTGAACAGGTGGATTTCAATAAACAAAAAATTATATAATGGGCATCTAAAACGGGTACCGTCCTTGGCAACAAGGACTTACAATAACCAATGTATATTCAACAAATTATCACTGATTATGTTTTATTGACTCTAAGACACATAGCAAAATTGATAGAAATCATTTTGGGGGTAGTTCACACTTTTTTAAAGAAACATTTGATAGTAAAAAAGTTTAATGCTCAAAGGTTACCCTATATTTTGAAAAATGAGTGAAAGCAACAGCGTGTAGGAATATCTTAACAATTATTTTTAAAAAATCAAAAATTGTACTTATCCACGTTTGTCTGAAATTCAAACAGATAATGAAACTTGAATCCATTTTGCTTTAAACCCTCAAAACAAATTTACAATAAGATGCACTTGACAAAACTGGAAAGGCCTAAAAAGAGCAAAGAATTGCAAGAGCACAACAACAGTTTTATATGCTATTTTCTTAAATATAAGCGGTCTTATTTTTCAAATTTATATTCGGGGAGGAAGTGCAATTTCTGGAGGAGACTAGAAAACAAATTTTTTGCAAAAAAATGAAAGGTTTATGAGAGGAAGGAAACAGAATGAGCAATTCACTAGATTTAATTTCTTCATGACAGCGTCCAAACCCACAGGCCATGAAGGGTAAAGGAGTTTTGGGGATAAACAGAAAGTTAATGGTTTGTCACACCAACACAATTTGCCAGATCTTTCAACCTTTGACTTGTTTCATTTCCCAAACTTAGATAAACATCTATCAGAAAGAAAAAAACAAGTACAGCAAATCATAGGATCTGCCATATTCCAGTATATGAAGGGTCATACTCAAAAATGTGTTCTAAAAACAATTAGAAATTGAATAAAAATGTTACAGACATGTGTTTTAATTAAGGTAGGTCCGTACTTTCAGAATTTTCTGTCAAACTAATAATTTTTCAATTTGAATACCTTGAATAAGTCTTAAACTAACTAAAACACCCATAAAGACATATCTTTGCAGGTTAATTTTCATACAACATGTATCAGAGCACATACCTCTAAAAACTCAACAGCCAAAATTGAACATAAAAAAGTGTGATATCATATTTCTCTTAGTTATGTACCAAATCACATCAAATTTATGTTAAAACTTATGAAGATAAAAAAATATTTATTTGCCAAGAGAATATTTGAAATCTTTACTGCAAAACATTAACAAATTGATGTTGAATCTGTCCATGTCTTTCAGAAAAAATCTAAAAATAACTTTATTTTTTATAATTCTCTAAATCCAAACTGTTTAGATGCCATTTTTTCTTTAAAACTATAAAGAATTATATCTAATGTTAACAAAAACACATACTTTATTATGGTTGACCCGAGAATTTTAACAAAACAGTCTTTTGAAGACGTATACCCCTATTTTTGGAATATCAATTTTTTTCAATTATTCATTGCAAAATTTTTAAAAAGTAAAAATTAAATGGATGCTATAGGCTCCAAATCAATAAAAATAGATCTCGGGTTAGTTTGCAAAAAAGATTTAGGTCCATAAAAGCAATTAAGAATTTTGTGTCTGTGTATGTACTAAATGACATACAGATCTTATGGACACTCTGTGTTAATTTCCATAAATAATGTATATTAAATGCTTTTTATGCACAATAACACTATAATTAACAAATATATACTTGCTAAATAATTTTCAATCACCCAAAAAGATTTTATATCAATAGACAAGTGAAAATATATATATTTATATTGATGTGTAAAATTAGGACCGGATCCGTAAAAGTGTGGGTCTTCCTTAATTAAAAGAGAATATTTTAGATAATTCATTCAGACTACATCATAGAAAAGCATTTGCTTGTTTCTTTCCGAGCCCCAATGACATTATTTATTGAACGCCCCTCGTATACATGTATAATACATTATCATCCTGTTAATTAGAAAATAAATGTAATTCTTTACTCGATTACTTTAAAAAATACACAAGAGCACTTGTAAATATTTTATTATACATTTTTGATAACATTTGATAAATTTTGTAATAAATAAGTACTATTGTGTGTGTTAAAATGCAGTGGTCTGTTTCAATTTATTAACTCAAAATTTCAAAATTTGAATAATGTACTTTGAAAACGTGCAGCAAAACTAAATTTTCAATATATTTTATTTAAATTAATGAAGTGGATTGAACAGCAGGCATGTGTTCTCAATAAATGATTGATTGATTATACGCTGTTTTACGTCCCATTCAAGATTTTTTTTCACGGAAGTAGATACGTTTTCAGAATGAGGCAGTTGTTTGATTTGTATTTTTATTGATACATTTTAAACTGTTATTTCATGGAATGAATAAGTGCTTTTTTAGCTCACCTGAGCCGAAGGCTCAAGTGAGCTTTTCTGATCAAAATTTGTCCCTTTACAGCAAATAAAATGTATTGAATGTTGACTAGCATTTCTCATACAAATGATTGTCCTTATTTTCACAAAGCATTGTCAATGGATTTTTCCGTTTCCCCGGTCATGACAAGAAGCATACGGCTGGTGTGTCCAATTGAGAGGAAATGCTTACTGCTCCATGGCACCTGATCCCTCCTCTGATGTCCGTGGAATATGCTCTGCTCCAAATTTGTATTGTTTCAGTGGAGTTATATTCAGCTCATTTACTAATCGTAATCTTCATTTTGCATTAAATCAATGGTTACTTGCTCTTGTGGGTTTTTTAATATGTTAAAAAAATCTTGTCATGTAATTTATATTAAATCTGGTAACTGTCAGTCAAATTTTGTATATAAACCCGAGAGTCAATTAAAAAAAACGGAGATAACAAACAATATTCAAGCTCAAAAGTCTATAAAACAATAAAAAGCTGGAGCAAGGCAAACACGGGCTTCTATCAGAGGTGGGATCAGGTGCCATGGAAGAGTAAGCATCCCTTCCCACCAGTCACATTCGCCGTATGATCCTTGTCATGATCAGGGAATAATTAAAAAAAACACGTGTACAATTCAGTGTGAAAATGATGGTCTAATACTTAGTATGAAAAACATAAAACATCAATTGACTTAATGATAGATTGTATTTGTTGACAACGTCATTATATCGATCATAGAATTTATGAAATTGTGGTCGCTAGCGTGGCTCAATGGTAGAACCTCTAAGTTTCTAAGAGTCGCAGCGTAAGAGTTTATCCTTACGTCATAGTTCGAATCCTACAGTGGGACGTGGAGATCGGTCCCTCGGTTGAAGTACAATGTGGCAGTAAACGCACAAAAAAGATTATCAAAAGATGTTCAATGGTCCTGAGTGCCGAGTAAAGGTCAGCATTTGCAACTCTTCACCGGCAAGTAGTGGCGTCTTCATATGAGTAAAGCGTCCAAGAGAGGAACTTAAAACAACATAACAACAAAGAAAATGACGACTTAAAGCGAGTATGGCCTGTTAAACGTTGCTTTATTCGATAAGCTTGTGAAGTGTATTCAAAATCTTGTGATGTATATTCAAAATCTTGTGATGTATATTCTATAATCTTGTGATTTATGTTCAATATCTTGTGATGTATATTCGAAATCTTGTGATGTATATTCTATAATCTTATGATATATGTTCAAAATCTTGTGATGCATATTCAATATCTTGTGATGTTTATTCGATAATCTTATGATGTATATTCAAAATCTTGTGATGTATGTTCTACAATCTACTGATGCGTGCAATAATATTGCATTATGGGTAATATTACGCAACAGTATTCTAAGAAAGTAAAGACAATTTTATTAGTTAGGAAAAATGAAAGTAGCCGGAGCGGCGGTCCTACTAAACAGAGTACACTTGCACGATAGAGTACTTTAGAGTACGCTAGTAAATTAATTATAATTTAATGCAATTAAGCTGCTTTTTGTATGTTTTTCTTCTTTAGTTTAACATAATAAATGTATATTAAATAAAATGTGTATGTTTCCTTATTTTATGAGTTATTTCAATTTTTGATTCCAGGTCACGGTTTATCGTTTGATACCGATACCGATCTTATTTAATGTATTTAATGTGAAAAATATTTAGTGTACGTAATGCAATTAATATAATTTTTTATGAATTAAATTTTTAGTTGAAATTACTAAGTCTAAAACAAAATAGTAATCTAGGGGTGTTAATAATCTTTAATGCACTGAATCATGAATATTGTTTCTTGTCAAAATATCGGTAAAAAACAAATATTGGAGATAAATATTACAATATTATTTAATAATAATGTTAAATGAAGTTGTATTTACATAAATCAACAATCCAATTGTATTAAATTAAAACATTTTGTCCTGCGTATGCTAACGTACTCTAGCGTACTCTGTTTAGTAGAACCACCGCTAAGGCTACGCTCATTATTTCTAACCAATGAAAATTGTCCTCACTTTCTTAGAATACTGTTGCGTCATATTACCCATAATGCAATATTATTGCACGCATCACTAGATTATAGACCACACATCACAAGATTTTGAATATACATCACAAGATTTCGAATACACATCACAAGACATTGAATATACATCACAAGATTTCGAACATATATCACAAGATTATAGAATGTACATCACAAGATATTGAACATACATCACAAGATTTTTGAATATACATAACAAGATATTGCACATACATCACAAGATTGTAGA